CTAAGTACACAGTCTTTAGTAATCCTGTGACCCTTCAGAACTTCTTCAATCTCAAATATTCATATTTCTCTTCGAGGATATATTTTTGAACTTTTCATCAATCTATGGCACTACTGTAAGCAAAGAGGAGAAAGTGAACCATATTATTAAAAACAGTTTTATTAGTAAGCTAAACAGACTACTATGGACTTCATACGCAAACTTCTGTCATTTCCGGTAAGAGTTTTGATTCTTTACAGTATGAAATAGAATATTTTTTGGGTTTCTAGCAGTTGAAATAATCCTGAAATTCATTTTCTTTGACGTTACAATCTGACCACTCAATTCAGTATGAAAAACAGCCTAAAGTTTCGAGGAACATAAGGATTCGTATACTAATGTTTTCAAAATTGAAGCTCTAGAGGAAGAAAAAACGGAGTATCGATTTCTATTCATAACTGCATGCAAAACATTGAAGGTGGAACAATCAATCTTGAAAGCACCGGGTTTTCTTTTGGAAATCAAAGATTCACAGTAAATACAGATTTTTAACGATGCTTAGGAACTTTACTCTGTTTTTGACTGCAAGCTAAATATTTTTATCGAAGTGGCTATGTTTAAATAACCCACCTGAATTGTAACATATATGAAATAAGCCTTCAAGTGATTTTTTATTCGCTTGGAATTATCTGTAAGAACCTCTGTGGAAATATTCAGTGGCAGCGCTAATTGGAATCAAACGGTAGAGTTTAGAGAGTTAAAATAAAAGTTGTGATTAGGTTTATAGGATTGTAACCTAATCGTAAAGCTGAATCCAGCGGGAAATTCGAGTCCGTAATTGTCCGAAATTCAGTCACATGGAAAATTCCTCAAGATTTGTGTATTATGTAATATGATAATATGGAAAACAATTCTCTTCGATCCAGTTGAAGTTATCATCAAAAATTGTGCACAAGCCAATCTACAATAGGTGACATTCTTCCAATAGTTCCTAGCTTCCAAGAGCAATCGCTCAGTCTCCTTCAAATTGTTTGGGCATTTCTAGATCCTTCGGCAGTTGCTCAAGAACGGGAAAACTATACTTTATCAGATTAAGTAAACTGATCACAATGAAACCAACTGGTCCAAAATATTCAGATCGATAAAAAAGAATCATTGAATTATGGTTATAGTTATTGGAGACAGGTATAAATAGTTGCTGTAAAGTGGATTCGATCTTGTTTGCTCTTACTATTGTGAAATATTTGGCATTATTGGTTCAATATCTCATTTTCACCTCATACCTGGTAACAAGACTTCAAAAGGCACTGTCTTCGTCAGAAATGAACTCCTGTTCTTATTTAATTACAAAGAAGAGCGTGACGTTGCGTAGTTATGCGTAAGACATTTCCCAGGTGCCTAAGTCGCCCGAAGCTTACAACCTCTCCAACTCATTTCTCACGAAATCCCTACCCCTGACTTCTTTGCTACTAATGTGGTGATACCATGATACATGACCTGTGCTAAGAAAGCAACAATTATGAGACAACTGAAGCCTTCTCATCTACTCCACCCGTAATAGCCACATTTCAGAGCAAACTACAGAGTAATACACTCAGCCCCTAGTGGGTGGTCGGATATCACGCGGGTGACATAAATGGCGTAAGCTGACAAAAGCCAATCTAACCTTTTGTATCTGTGTAGAGATATGCTTCATCACTGAACCATCATATAAGTGAAGTGGTCAGAGATCTCAACCAGTTCACTCCCTATTGTTAGACGAGGCACCAACACAGAGTGGTCCTGGGGTAACAATTTACATATGAGTGATGTATTCTGAACATTCTCAAATCGCCACTCAAGGTGTCCAGTAAACTCCGCTTCTTGTCACTGTGTCACCTAAGCGGACTATGCAACGTGGATACTCTAGTTCTACCAAAGAGTTGCCTGCAAAGTCAGACGAAGAGGGCGAGACCTCCGTAAGTATCGTTTAGACCAACTTTAAAATATACTTAAATGGTATTTTAAAGGTCGAAAACTGTTATGATCCCTTTACTGCTAAATCAGTGGATTTTCTATAAACATTTTCTCACATATAACAAGATTTTCACATCTTTCACTGAAGGTCAAAAAGTCTAACTAATTGAAGCATAAATCAGGGAACTTGTGAAATCACTGAACTTTATGAATAACACAACAGTGTAAAATTTAAATGTCTAGTTAATTTGTATTCTTCACGTTATATGACTTCACTCACATTCGTCTATGAAAAACCAAGAATATCTGCGATATGAAATATGTTAGGAATAAATCTATGGTCATTCTATTTGGTAATCGGATAAAAGCTGAAAGTTCTTTTGGTGGAGAAGCGACAATTCGCTCCCCTGTAAACGAAGTAATTTTAGCTGTTTGTATACTATTTTGATTATCATTTTTGGAATCTAAGTAACGAATACAGTTGACTCGATACTGTCAGAAATGTCAAAACTGAGAATGCTGCCAATGAAAATTCAAAATGTAACCTAAGAAATACCATGGACTATTGATTACAAGCCTCACTTTGTGAACTAGTGTGTGAGTTATAAGTTATCATATGAAATACTTATACTATAGATATATTTACATGGGTCAGTACTAATACTGCTTCCTGTAAGTTTTTGTAGCTGTAAAGTGGTACCTGGAGAGTTAATATAGGTCAAAATATATGCTTTTAAGTCATCTATCTTCGAATAGCCTGATCTTCATCAAAAACCGACGCCTGACTTTAGTAGAGTAATTCATGAAAGCTCTTTTAGTCCTCTTTGGTCAAAGACCACATTTGTAACATGATGAATTGGTAAAAACAATCTGTAAAAGTTCTACGGCCATATTTTATCGATAGTGTACTTACTGAGTCGTCGGCTCACCTTTTTCCTTCAAGACTCTCGTGGCCACCATTAAAATCACACTGCTCTACGCGACCTCTACAACAACGTAACTACCTACAGGCTAGACAAAAACGTATCAATAGCTGGTCATTACAACGGAATCTAAAGCGACCATGAACTAGTGGAAATCGTTGCACATCAAGTTATTGTTCAGTAGTTTTTCTCAATATATTTGTATACCATACTTCTGACTGCCATAACTGTTTGTTTTCTTCAAATTCATTAATTTAAAAACGAAGCGGGTGAACCGAAACATTGACATTTTATTCAATCTGTCATTCCTGTTCACTAGAATTGTATCACAACCGTTGCCAAGTTCAGATAATATTATGCAACTTATTCAATGCTTGATCTATCATCTCTATACTTAAAAAAAATTAACACGAACACTTCATTCACAGTTTGTCTGAGTGGAATTCTCGGTTATTATATTACCAGGGTATGAGGTTAATTCTCCATTGCATTTAATCTACAATGTGTGAGAATGAAGATGTGGGAAATAAAGGTAAACTGATTCATTGGAAGACATTAGTTATTCCAAGCAAACACCCACACACATTTTGCCTATCTTATGTATCCGTTGTCAATAATAACAACCATGAACTTGTAATGACTAATCTTAATTACTCAGGTTGGAGAGGAAAATCATCCAACCAATGACCCACGTTTAGTAAGTATATTTGATGTATCATTTGACTATATATTTTGATGCTAATAAAAAATCCGCTGAAGAAGCTGTGGCTTACACAGCGAAACGTTCAGAAATATCTTGTTTTGATTTTCTAAACACGCTGGGATTATATCAAAACATAATCCTATAATAAACCTTCAATGTCTTACAGACAGACGTGAAAAGAACTTCAGCTACTACCATTTAAATCTACATTCCACACTAATCTGATGATAACGAAAGAATAAACTATAAAATTCATGTCCTTATTTCTAATAACGTGTAACAGTAGACTTTGAGATGACACCAGCCAAAGTTCATTCTGAAAACCATTTAAAGGATAGTTTCAAAAGACAATTTAAGGAAGTCAAAATTATATACCTCAACAAGAAGATACAGTGTCTTACTAAAGATATTTCATTTACGCTGTAAACATGAATTGTTGCTTACTATTGATGACTTTGTCATAGAAAGAAATATGAGGATTTAGATTACTATACTGTGTAGGAATCAATAATTCAAGGGTAGACAATGTATTGAGTTTTGAGCACATATCAAAATAAATCGATTATACTACTGAGATAAGTATTCGTTTGAAATCAATAAATTTCAGTGCAAATAATGTCCAATACATGCAGTCCTTGTTAGAAGCAGGAAGTCCAGTAAATATTTCAGTTTCAGTACCAATCGGTTGAGTTCTGCTTCTCTTTCAAGTTCACATTAAGCCACACAGCTGGTAGACGAGTATCTGAGTTAGTGCAGAATGTATACGTTCCACTTTGCTATTGTTTATTTCTTTTCTTCTAAATCCTATATTCCATAACTTCTGACCATCACTTTTCGACTATTTCGCCTCATATATGAGCTGACTATCATTGATTCTATACTCTAACGTCTTGATTCTACTTCCTTTCGGCTTTGCCTAGTGTCTTTGTCCTGTGCTTCTAGTACTGTTTATATAATCACTGAACTAGGCAGTCAATTGACTTGTAGTCCGTTTAACAGTAAAATGGAGATTATATTTTCCAATTCCTCGCATGAATCCATTTTCCTAATAGGCACCAATAGAACAGGCAACTTGAATCATAGTTAAGCTATCTTTTGTTACCTAGCTAGAGGCAAATATCTTTGAGATTGTGCCCGTCAACTTGACTGTTTTTATGGGCACATTTACACAGATAAAGAGAGCCATGAGGTGGTTGCTTTTATATTCACGGAACGTGGTAACATTTATTACAAGCTAACTGAACGAAAATTTTCACTCAACAATTTCAAGTAATGCCTGACCAGAGTATGATAACAGAAATTATCCATGATAAATGATTCTTGCTAGATAAGCCAATAGCTATGACTTACAGCTCCATTGACTCAGGAACCACAGTTATACGGTTCGAGAACAATTTATAGGCTTGAACTCAATCGGTTTGTTCATAAACAAAAGAAGGCGTAACAAATACTTTCTTATTTGTTAAGAAATTAACAGTTCGTTTATATACAGAAAATGAAACAAAATTGTTATTTACATCGCACTACTTAATATCAGTAAGTAGTACTAGTCAAAAAATAGATAAATAGCTGGCTTTCCTAACTATGGCTTGCTAGAACATTATCCAAATATACCATATTTGTTTTAATTTCTTTAAATCCAACCGAATTACCACATACTTTACAAGTGACAGGATGATACTCTTTCAAAGTAGTTCTGTTCGATTCCGAATCAGTTTCTGCGTTAGATTTGCTCTTTCTGTGGGGCTTCGACATGGTTCGAGAAATGACTTGTGTTTCATCCGCAAAGCAATTGATAGGATATTCCGTGTAGTATCGTGTTTTAAAATTTGGATGCCTGAAACCAAGATAAATGAACGCCGATCAGGTTCTATTCATTTGCGTGTAGAAAACTGGGTGTAAAAGAGTAAACGATGGGTGCTGGATTCAAGCCCCAGTGAGAACGCTACCACTCACGGGAATGCAGGTACATTCAGTTCATGCGTACCATATAAAACGAAATGTGTGTTCTGAACTCCACTGTCAGCTGCCAACAAGCAAGCTATATAAAGAAAATACCACGTTATAATTTCAAAGTAATAAGAATATATTTGACCATTGTCGTTGACACACTGAGCACAGCTCATTCACTATTTATATGCTGGAGAAAGCGTGGTCCTTTGAACAGAAATACTCCCTGCTGACTGCCATCTCTCCCAGAGAAAAAACAGACATTACTTTACTATACTAAGCTACACCTGAGAACATGTTACAATCACCTTTGGAGTACTCCATTTTCAATAACCGTAATATAGAAATACCAAATAAGAATGTCATCCCAGGAGTCACCACTACACCATAATCATTCGACAATATGAGCCTGAAAACGGGGTGTTATATTACTACGATGACGATCTGAGAAAGAAACTGTACTGCTGACTGAAGATGGTTGTGAAAATAACAAGCTTTTCTTTTTAGACTACGCACTCTTAGCTCTTTTGCATTCCCTCTTCGAAAAGGATAAGTTAGACATTAACCTTGAAAAATATACATTCCACCCAGTTCTATGAGCTTTGATCGCAAGAGATAGGCTTCTTCAACGGACACATGAAACTCTTCAAACAACTACATCCCCAAAAACACCATGTGCGACTGACCTCAAGCAGATACCTCTAGGAGAACAATCTACTTTCCCTCCAGAAATATATCAATCTTCATGATGGCGACAAGCTTACAAGCAGCGATTACCAGCACAGTTCCAATCGGTACACAAACCCATCGTACAAGACTTAAAACAACAGCTATTCAACTAACTTCGCCTGACCAACGAGAAAAATATGTAAAATGTAATCTTCGCGTTGTTAGAGGATTTAACGGTCAGATCCTGCTCATTCACATCAGCTGGAACAGCACTAGGAATAGAGGGTTAATTTCTTCATTAAGTCATAGTTTAGTTGTAAGGTTACTCACGAGCTACGAAAATGCTGGTTATCTTTAAGAAACATATTATTGCTGTTAATCAATGGAAGAGCCAGCAGTAGTTAGTCAGACAGCATCAAAGTGGGACCTTGCATTACTGCGAAATGGTTCAACGTTGTCACATTTCATATCAGAACATTAAGATAGTAAACACAGGTGAAATATGAAGTAATAAGGGAGAGATTAATCATCAGTGGTAGGAATTCGCATAAAGTGAACAAGAAAGGCTGAACAATAATGAACTTCGGTCTCATAAATACCATGGAGACAGTCTGCGTGTGTGTGCAGCAGCACTTTTCTGACTCCATACCTTACATGATTGCATTTCTGTTGTAAGATGCTCGGAGATCTTAACAGCTTGCAGGTTTGCATTACGCTTTTATAAAAACCACGGGAGTCATAAATGGTAGCAGATAGAGAAGCATAAAAAATAAGCTAAATCATTACAGCAAATACAAACGATCTTTAGTCTTATCGTAGGTTCAGGAAATCTGATTAGTAAAGTAGAGCGTTTACGCTCGAAAGAGAACGATAATGGAAAAGATAACGCAAACAATTTGGTCAAAACCTGACTATGGATCCTTTGGAAATTACAGCATCATAACACTATTGTCAGTCATGACACTTAAAATCCCAGTAATAGTTTCAAAAAATAAATGCTGCTTTGTCAATACAGACTTTTGAAATGTCAACTTCCTTTACGATTGTAAACTAAATTCGGACACTCTTGATCATACTTTCAAACGGTCAGCAGAATGCACGCTGCTACCACTTAAAATGTTCAAACAAAATAATATCAAAGATTATATCAAAGATTACTACAGGCTGCTTGTTAGCAAAGAAGGTTTATGCATACGAAGATGGAAAGCATAGAAAACTAACCTTTGATTCAACAGAAAATTATTTATTCGACACTGTATCACAGTGTGTTATATTAAATAAACAATCTAATGTGGAAGTATACTCTACCATAGTGTCCATGTTTTACATTAAACCAACTTTTGGTCTGAGCGGTTTACGTTGCACATGTTAACTGAGTAATTTTCTGAAGATACTAGCAAAAACTATGTCATTTTTTCAAGTCCTATTACAATGACTTAAAGGTAATCGCCTTACCGAGACCGATAGCAGCTACCTTGACGTAGTGGTCGCGCCTGTATATCATGATGAAACAACGATCTATGCTGGTGGAAAGCTTGGTCTCTTGAGGTCCTACTGTACCAGAAAGGTCTGTTGGATAGTGGTTAGATAAAAAGAAGTTACCTTTACCATTAACATGTTCTTCAACAAAGAGACGATGCATTATGGTAGCTTAGATCAGTCATCGATGGTGATCCAAAACCACAAGAAGTATGTCCAACTACGTCATCCATACTACAGGCCAGTTGTCGTAGGCATCAAGAAGGTCGTACTTGACCGGCCTCAAGCAGATATCACCAGGGCTCTGCAGTCACGTACTAACTCTTTTTTTAGGTAACTCAAGAAGATCTAGCCTTCCACGACGTAGGCAGCCTGGAAGTGTCAACCGCCCTCACAACTCTGTTTGGGTTCATGATGAATCACTTTATTCTGTTTGATATCTCAATCATATTAGTCTTCAGTAATTTGTTTCACTTCTACTCCATCTGCTGTTGCGAAGTGTGGAAAACTTGAATTAATGGATTTTTGTTGTCGCCTGCTTTGATGGCAGCAATATAAAGGTCTTTAAGTGAACTCAAAGAAGCCGTTAGCTTAACAGTGGACTAAAACTTTAGCGCTTGTAGTTTCTAGAAATTTAAAATTTTAATGCTTCTTATTTACCAATTAGTTTGATTATCAATGTTAACAAGAAGCGTACGACTACACTACACCAGTTAATAAAAATGCAGCACTGTGAATAAAAAGAAACGCATTCAATCCACCAAGTTCTACAACCCTTTTGCTACAAAAGGTTTACAGTGAAAATCTAATATCTCTTGACAGTTGAATAATAGCTCTCCTTTGACGCCCCTAATACCGAAACGTACTTCAAATTCATAAAGTATAAACAGTACATATTTACTAAATATTCACAATTTTTGTACCATCTTTGCTTTCATTTCTTTTTATCGTAATTTGTATGAGTAGTGTGGTACTATTGGGGAGCATGAATTGAAAGAGGAAACGACTTGCAGCTTCATATGACTCTTAACTGTAGGACTCCAAAACATATATGATCCTAGATTCCAACCTCAAGGTCTTCTGTTTAAAAGTAATATTAGGTAACGCGACTGAAACTGGCACAAATATATTTGCTGGGTTATGAGCCATAGTGGTGTGGCCCACTGGTTGGAACAATTGGTTCCCAACCAATAGGTCCTGGGTCCGAGTCCCGCTCCTTCTATATCGACCTGGGGACCTAAGTAGTACCATATGCCCTCACACAATAGGTGTGTTTCATGGCCCCCGTATATAAGCATATACCGAGTTTTTTTATTATTATTATTGTTTTGTTATGAGCCACACAGTGCAAGGGCTTATGATACTACTCACTCGCCGGAACCGAAGTAAATAGAGATCTGAGCCCTGGATAAATTACCTTACCACAGAATGAATGGTAGAGAAAAGCATTTTTGTGTCAGCTGCAATGGTTTTTACCCTGTAGCATAAAAAAGGTATAATCCAACCTGATAAAGAATCATAACAAAAAATGAAAGGTGATTAGTTTAGAAAAACTATGAAAATTACCTATAACAGTTCAATGATAACACAGATATACATCCAGGACAATTAAGGATAGCATCTGATTTTTTACAGTGGCCACCAGGAAGATTTTCTTGCACCCATTTTGAATTAGCTTCATCTTCATCATAATCACAGAGAGGATCTTTATCTACAGGAAAATTATCTTAAGTAAAAAAGTAAATGCTTGTTGAAAGGACATACCTTCATCATTAGCATAATCATCCTCTTCCTTTAGAAACCGTACCCTAAGATTTTTCTTTAGTTTATTCCCAGTTTCAAAATCCGGCTGGTTGTGATGAATTTGTTTGACTACTGCATTAAGTTCTTTGTTCATTAACTCATCAAATTCTATAGCCTTGGCTTTAGAGCTTTCGATAATACTGGCATAACCAACTTCATTATGCGTATCGCTTCAGGGAAGGGAAATGTCGCAAATTATGAATAGCAATAAGTTACCTTGATGAACTACTGTCAGAATCGCAACCATCGTAGCTTGACGCAAACATCTAACTACAAAAAAGAATGAAAAAATGATGTGAACCATTTAGGCATACGGTTATTGGCACTTAAAGTTCGAATAATCTTCATCATATAACCCTGTGTAGAAGTAGGAAGAATAATGGAACAAGATCGTCTTAAACGAAATGTGAAATTCAAGTCAGCCTGTTACAGGTTTTTATGTACCAGGATGTCAATCAAACTTGTTGTGTGAGGGTGAAGTAATTGGAGTAGAATATGAGTCCGAAAGCCATTGGGTGAAAGTTGAATGCTGTACCCCCACAGCTACGACCACATGATGACCGATAGCTGCTACCTTGACGTGGCGGTCGGACTTGCATATCACAATGACCCAACGAGCTATGCTGGTGGAACGCTCATTCCCTCGAGGTCCTACTATACCAGAAAGGTCTGTTGGGTAGTGGTAAGACGGAAAGCAGTTACCGTTGTGGCGAAAATTGCTACACTATGATGGGGGTCTGAGAGCGAAGTCGTACTGCTGCTAGCTGGATGGGGTGTGACAGCAGTAAGGTGTTTCCCTTGGATGACCAGCAGTGCCATGTTGATGCTGCCTTCTCAGTGGAAGGGGCGGGGGGTTAGAAAAGGTCGGCCCCAAAAAAATAACACTCCACTATGCCCCATGGTCTACCGGGCCGGTGGTGTTGATTCATTTGTCGTTTCCTTTCGACATGATGAACTTTGTCGTTTACTATGTTATATTTGCTTAGATATTTCCATTTTGTTTCTTAAACGGATAATGTTAAGGATATCTATATCCCTTATATTCTATACATACAGTTTGTATCTATGTGAACTGGTTTATTCGAGCTCTTTTCTTGTGCACGGGTCATATGAAGTATGACCTGCTATTGTTCTGATTACCTCCTGCCTTTTTAGATTTACTAATTATTCCTTGTCTTTCAAGGTTACTATAAACTGTATACATAAAGTTCATTTTCACTCATAAACGTTTTTAGTCCGAGATACTACAAATTCATCTGGTTTCCAGTCTTTTGATTTCTCTTTGAGAATCACTCGGGTTGCATCGCATCAACTCTCGACTACCAATTGTTAAGTATTTCCGTTTGTTCTCATCATAACAGATAATGCTTGGTTAATATATATTCCAAATCTCTTTCCTAGTTATAATGATGTTACTAGCAGTAAACGCACTTATTTCAAGGAATGATTACTTGAATTTCAAAAGTCCTATCATTGCAGATCAAAGCTGTTAGGGAGGCTAGATAATCGATTTCTCGTGATCGTAAACCACTGAAATTAAATTCTCAGACCCAAGCAACCTTATACAATAACTAAAATATAAACAGAAAGGATTTTGCAAAATAATCTGGGATAGTCAGCTTATCTGCATGGGTGAGCTGAATAGATACGGCAAACAGGCTATTCCCCCTCCCCACGAAGTCTCTAGGGTGTGTTGTAAAGAAGAAGGAAAGAAAAAATCTGTTTCTATGCGTATATAAAAAGAACTCAAGTGACTTATTCAGTATGTTAGCCCAAAATTAGTTCTTCACATAGCATAGACCGAAATGCAGAATTCCTTATCAATATGATGGATCGCACATACCTGTTTTCCATTTCCTAATTTTTATCAACATTATAGTTAATCTAACTTTGCTTAGTTCGATTGTCTTACACATTTGAATGTGCTAACGTTTATATCTTAAACTTCCTCGAATTCTCACTTCATAGTATGTTGATGTCAGCTTTCTCAGGCATCAAACTAAATTCAGTAGATCATTATATTTATTATTTATTTATTCGTCCCTTGGGTTCCTGATGGAACATAGGGCTTCAGTAGCACGTCTCCAGTTCACTCTGTTCTCCGAAATCTTTTGAACCTGGCTCCACGACAGCCCACAAGCCCTCATTTCCTCCTCGCACGATCTCCTCCATGTCACCCTCACCTCGGACGCCCAATTCGTCGCTTTCCATCGAGGTTCCACTCGAGGGGCTGGCCAGAAGCGTGATGTCCTCAGTCGGCCTCCTCAGTGTATGCCCAATCCATCTCCACTTCCTCCTGCATATTTGTTGCGTGATAGGTTCTTGGTTGGTTTGTTTCCAGAGCACCTTGTTGCTTATTCTTTCTGGCCATCTGATCTTCAGTAGCGAGCGTAAGCAGTTGTTGATGAATGTCTGTAGTTTATTGGAAATCCCTTTCGTAACGCGCCAAGTCTCTGAACCATATAGAAGCACTGACTTGACGTTGGTGTTGAAAATCCGGATCTTGTTCCGCATGCTGAGTGCAGAAGATCTCCACACTGGTTTCAGGCTGATGAACGCCTCTCTTGCTTTTCCGATTCTGACTTTGATATCCTCGTCTGTGCCACCTGTAGTTGAAACAGTGCTTCCTAGATAGGTGAAGGAGGTTACTTCCTTTAAGTTTCTCCCGTTCATGGTGATTGGAGTTTGTTGTTGTTGGTGGTGCGGTATTTTCATCACTTCTGTCTTCTCTGTATTCACCTGAAGGAAGTCCCGTCTTCGCTGCCTCGCCTCTTCTGTTAACTTGTTAATTTTCGCCTGTAGATCATCAAGTTTATGTGATATCAGACACAAGTCATCGTTGGCGAAATCCAGATCTTCTAGGTTCTTTTTCCCGATCCAGTGTATCCCCCTCTTCTCACAGCTCCCCACTGTTTGCTGCATGACCCAGTCGACCACAATCAGGAATATCATGGGGCATAGTAGGCAACCTTGTTTCACTCCTGTCTTCACTTCAAAAGCATCACTGAGCTGAGCTTCCCATTGTGAATTACTTGGCATGTGGCGTCTTCATACAGTTGTTGAATGAGGCTGATAAAGGTTTGCGGTACTCAGAAGTAATGAAGCAGTTTCCAAATTACCTCTCGGTCGACGCTGTCAAAGGCCTTCTCAAAGTCGATGAAGTTGAGGTAGAGGGTTGACTGCCATTCTATACTCTGTTCTAGGATGATGCGTGGGGTAGCGTTGCAATTTGGTCCGCACATGATTTATACTTCCTCAATCCAGCCTGTTCCGGTCGAAGTTTCGAATCCAGCTAGCTCCGGTCGTAGTTTTGAATCCAGCGCATCCCTTAGTCTCCCCGGGATGATGTGGCTGAATATTTTGCTAGCTTCGGGTGGACAGGAGAGTGATTCCGCGCCAGTTCTTGCAAACACTGAGGTCTCCCTTCTTCGGCAGTTTGACAAGGTAACCCTTCTTCCAATCAACCAGCAGGTACCTTCTCTTCCTTCCACACCTTCTGCAATAGTGGTGTGGTGTGAGCATGTCCGCTGTTGTCTCTGCGTCTGCTCTCAGTGCTTCTGGCGGGATCCCATCTGGTCCTGCTACTTTCCCACATTTCAGTAGCTTTATGGCGTTCAGGAATTCCACTTCTGTTGGAGGATTTATGTTCACTTGTAGTTCAGCGGCTGCAGGTGGTATTTCTAGACGAAATGCAGGTGGTGGTCGATTCAAGAGCTTCTTGAAGTGGTCGACCCATCGTTTTCTTTGTACCTCCTCTTTGGTGAATAAGTTTCCTTCATCATCTTTTATTGGTTTCATCTGCGTTGATCTCTTCCCAGATAGCAACCTGGTTATTTGATACAATGTTATCAGGTCTCTCCTACCTGCAGCCTGTTTTGCTTCACTTGCCAGTGTGTCGTGGAAGTATCTTTTGTCTTTGCGCGCACTCTTTTTCACTTCTCTACCCAGTGTAGTGTTTTATACATTGTACTCAGTTCCTCTTGTCGTTGAGCATCCATGCACTGGTTTATCTTCTGCTTCACCATCCTCCTCTCCTCTATAAGCTTCCAGGTATCCGTCGAGATCCATTCTTTGTCTTCTTTCTTCTTCCTTCCTAATACGGCTGTGCAGGTTTCTTTCCACATCTCTTCCAAAGACTTCCAGTGTTCTTCCACACAGGTTTCTTCAGGGATGTTCCTCGATATCTCCCATTTTGTCTTGATGGTTGATGTGAGGATTTTCTTCGCAGTTTTATCCTTCAGTTATTGTTCTGGGTGTTGCACTTGAACTGTGGTCTATCACCAGCTTCCTTGAAGGCTTTTAACTTGATTTGGAAGATTCCTTGCACTAGATACTGGTGTGAGTGGTCTGAACCTACATCTGCTCCTCTTCTTGACCTTGTGTCAAGTAGGCTGCGTCTCCACTTTCTTGAGATTGAGATAAAGTCGGTTTGATTTTTAGTGTGTCCATCTGGTGAAATCCATGTCGATTTGTGGATATCCTTGTGCTTAAACACACTACCTGACCCCAATCACCAAATCGTTGAATGCACAGAATTCTGCAAACAATTCCCCATTCTCGTTCATCACCTCACCGAGCGCTTCCCGACCCATGGTTAGTTCTCTTCCTGTGTTGTCCGTTCCCAGTTTGGCATTCATGTCACCCCACCCATGAGAATTTTGATATCGCCAACTGACGTCTTGTCCAGTGTTGATTGCAGTTGTCTGCAGAATCCCTCCTTTTTCTCTTGATCTGCATTATTTGTAGGTGCATAGCATTGTATGATTGTGACCTTCCTTCCTTTTGAGTTGAACCTTGCTGTCATGATCCTTATGCTGGAGGAGATTGGTTCCCACTGCATGAGAGAGAGAGAGAGAGAGCCTTCGATGCTGTTGGGGACATCATGATAGCCACTCCCTCAGTGTGCTCGTGGTTGTCGTCTGGGTGACAATATCGGAGTAGATTACTGATTCTCCAGTTGACAGTTTGGAGAGTCCACTTGCATCCCATCTGCAGATTCCTCGCAGATTCCAAGCACTTCTATGCTATACCTTCTCATCTCGTTTGCAATCTGGGTTGCCTGCTGGGTTCAAACATGATGCGGACATTCCATGTCTCCACGTTTACTTTCGCTTTCATGGAGAAAAGCGAGGACACATCGGCCAATTGGCTTCCCGAAGGCTTTCACCAACCGGCGTCATTTCGGCTCTCCGATTCCAGCGAGGAATAAGTTTGTTTTTATTTTTTATATTTTGTTTGTGCTTTAAAGTTTCTTTAGCGGTTAGATTTGTTTTACGGGGTAGGGTTGCTAGCCCTATGCCCAACCTTCTCTCTTTACCCGGGCTTAGGACCGGCTAGTAACTAGTGAACTAGTTAACCAAGCGAGTTTAGTTCATTATATCATGTCAAACACTGAGTATACTGTGAAACTGCAGCGACCCCAGTGGTTGAAAACTTTGCAAGGGGTTGTGGGCTAACAACGATAATAAGTAATACAAGTCCGGTATGCATATTTGTATGGCGCAATGAGCAACATCAATTAGGAGAGTTTACGATATTCACTGACTCCCCAAGCTTCAGTAGGTTGACCGAGGTTTGAATTCACGACTCATCGACTGAAAGTCAAATGTTTAAACTAAAAACCATTATCATGAAAATGCAGGTTGTCTATAGTAAATGCATTTATTTATTCACTCCTTATCATCTAAATTTCAGTCTATATTGATTTTATTTATTTTTTCTCTTCTAGTCTAAGTCTCACTTTTCCACTGTGTAACAACGACAGCCAACATACTTCTATTTAGGGTTCTACGCTATCTCTCAACCTGACTATAATGTAACCAATCACAAGTTTTATTTTCACTAGAAACTGCAAATCAATGTTAAAACAGGTCTTGACTAAATCGACATCAGACTGGGATGCGTTAGCAACTGTACAAAGGGTTGAAACCAATAGAAAAAAGAAAGTAATGTGTCAAAAATGCATGTGTTCACCCAGTATAATATAAACCGAGAAACTGTTTGCCGGACACAGAATTGAATGCCTTTCTGTTATCGTTAACAGATGAACAAAACTGGATATCAAAGTATTTGTTACTGCACGTAAAAGCGTTTCTAAATATCATTGCCATCACGTTATTATTCGGAACACAGAGTAGCGCACATCTACCAAGAAATGTCCCATACAAAATACTGCAGCGACATCATACATAAAATTATGCAAACGGAAAGTGAAGACAGAAGTAAACAGCGAACAAATTGTTAGAGAAGCAATCAGGAGGATACAATGGATTGAGCATTGAATACTTTAGTTCTACTTGAAGATAATGGTAGAAGCAGACAGACAAACGAAATCAACGCAGAATCTCGCACACATTCGCATAGGTTCAAGCTGCCAAACTTTATAAAGAACAAGTGGACAGAATAAGAGTGATATCAAAGTAGACAAAGTTGTGTGAGAGAATAAACAATCTGAAGATAGAGGTTAGTGCAAATATTCAGACTTAAGACGTCCAAGAGTGAATACATTTAAGCCATTGTGACCGATTATCAGCCATGTCACCAAGAGTATTCAACCACAGGTTCCCATTATCTCATGGACCCCAGGCAGACAGTCTACATCTTACCACACAGTTCACACCAACAGTAAGGTACTTTATGGACTGGTGCCACATCTTAGTGTGGCTACTCAGCCTTCTTCGAATTCAACCCCATTTCAACTAGAATTGTACATCGAGGTAGGTGGTGGATCGACATTCATAACACACATCTAAACCACCTCAGCACGAAGGTTCACAACCTCATCAATCGACCTGGCTATCTTGCCCAGTATCCTTCTCCTGACCTCAACATAGTTCGCACGATAATTCCATCACGCGCAAGCAATACTAAGAAGAGATTCGTGATCAAAACCGCCCAATGCCTATATGCCTTATATTTGTAACGGTCAGGTCTTTCAGTCAAAGTGCAGCACGGCATACTCGTCAATTGATAGATGGTCGGATACCTCATAAGTTGGCGCAATAAGTGAGGCAAAGTGACAAGTGCCAAACGGGCTCTCTGTATCCTACTTGCGATTTCGGCAGCGAATAGCCCGTTTGGACTGATACAACTCCTCAAGTGAAGTGGTCGATATATTCCACTACTTTGCCACCTACCATCAAAATGGGAGTATTTTCGTCAGACCAATCCTGGAGTATTTCCATATTAGATTTGTTTATTTGATATAAAGCGCACAGTGATACAGTATTATTTAATTGATTACGTTTCGAGCATAAATTATTGCTCATAATCATATCAATGTAATCACACTTCTTTCGACATCTGATTTTATAGTCCTGTCACCTGATCTCTCTTTGTTTTTTTGTTTTTTGATTGGTAGTAAAGTTTTCCATATCTCTGGTATAGGTGTTGCGTCATTCCTATTACATGTGTTGGGTGTGGATTCGATGAACAAAGATTCAGTAATTAATCTCTCTCTCCACCTAGCTATATTAGACTTAAGTACAGTGGTTTTGTCCCATCCTATTGTGTGGTTGTGTGTTAATGAATGTAATGCAATGGCTGAGTGTTTTTCTAGGTTATTGATCTTATTGGGGTCTGCCGTTCTATGTTTAGTTAAATTCCTATGTTCTGTTAATCTAACTGCCCCCGACCGGCTAGTTTGACCTATGTATTTGACTTCACAGTCATTACATGGAATTTGGTAGATTATATTATTTTGCTTAATTGGTTCTATCGGATCTTTTAGCCGACAAAGCTTACCTCTAAGTGAGTTTGTTGGTTTAAATGCCACCCTAATTCCAACCTTGTTGAGAATCCTACGTATGGTTTCTGAAATCAACACCTCTATTGTGATACCATACAAGGAAGGAACATCAGAATATATCGTCTGCACACTCTAAATAAACCACATGACCTCCAGGGAGTAGATCGATCCCGAGAAGTCGGACGTACCTTTAATACGTCTACAACGAAGTTGAATAGAAACGGAGACAGCAGGCATCCCTGGCGTCACTGCGGGAGGCAAATCCCCATAAGCCCTTGGACGGCTGTGTGAGTTCGAGTACAGAGCTTTGATAAGCATTATATACTTGTTCGGTACTGCTTTCACAGTCAGAGTAAAAAAGCCGTTCACGTCAGAGTGAATACAGTACCACCTTCAGGCCAAGACTAAGGGGAATGTTGGCGTCTGGCGAAGATAAATGTGCTTTAGGACCTGTTTCAGGGTGAGAACATGATTGAAGAAACCTCATCGAGGAATAAAACCTAATGGTTTACTCGAGTTTGGCGCGTGAAGAATACTCCATGGATAACACTGCTTAGCTTCATGGGACAACATAATAAAGTGAAAAGTCCATGTTCTAATGATTAAAGTCTGAGTTTTGCTTAGATGTGAAATCTAATGGTAATACTATCAGGTTTAGAAGTCTGACAACGCAGAGCTACATGCAGCTGCAGCTATGCCAGACTTTATCTCCCCTAAAAGAACGGGGAGAATAAAAATCCAGAGCATCCAAAAGTACCGGTCAGATAAATACCGACTTGGAAAAACAGTACTAGCTTCAAAGCTTCGTCATTCCACTTAGATTTAATGGAAAACGCGAAGCCGTTTTCCGAAAGTAGGTGAAGCTGTCACCTACTTTAAGTTTCGTCAAGAAAATTTAAGTACGGAAGCACTACGATCCGGCTTAATGAGGTGGCTGTTAGTAATATCAAACTAAATTCTGAGGAAAATCAACTTACCACCCGCAGTGTAGCGCCGATGTTGAACAGTTTGCTTTCAAACTTCAAACTTCGTGTTGTAGAATTAGTGGACGATGATTCCTTGGGCTCTATGTCTGTCTTATTGGAGTACATTCTGGGTTTAGAATCGTCACAATTATCTTCCTGGTTCCGAAAAACCTGAAAGGATAGAAATAATCGATTATTAATTAATCTGGTCTGAAGGCAGTATTACTGCACCTGATCTGCAGATGACGGAAAGCTTCTCGAGTGCAGCCCATCGGTACCACAAGACTCCTCCTTTTGAAAGTATGAGGATATGGGGCTGTAACAACTGCTGAAGGAGAGGGGACCGTAGCTACAAACGAGTTAGCGCAGATTTTTCTACATACTGTCTCATACTCTATTCTTAACGGGTGATCCCTCAGGTGGCGCTTCCAATCAAGGCCTAGAATTGGTCTGTTAGGATGAAGGGGATTATGGGCGATGTGGTACATCATGATCCTATCCCCTCTGATCCCCTGGTATTGTGCTAGATGCAGCTTAAGAGCAACAGAGTGGTATAGGTAGGGTTTGTACCGTAACTTATCCGCTTTCCTTCCGCCTCTTCTCTGTGCCCGTTCTAGGATGTTTATGTCCTTCTTCAAGTATGGGGACATCGGAAGCGAATTTTTATCTAGATGGGGGGGAATGTACAGAGCATACAATGTAGTGAAAACAGAAGGAGTTAAACTCCATAAAGTTCACGAAATAGACCTTAAGACTCTATAGGCCTTGTTGGTTGCAAGGCGACAGTGGACTGAAGCTCCTAGTGTGTCGCTCATTGTAACTGCTAGGTCTCGTTCACGTTAAAGTGACAGATATTTATTTCACCCAGAGAGTAAGAATTGCGACTACTTTAGTATTTATATACTGCCGTTATCCCGCACTTCTTTGAGTTGAGGGGAAGCACGTTTTCTGCGGTCCAATCAAGGATTTTCATAAAGTCCTTCTAAAAGACCAAAATATACGTTGGCACCCGTAATTCCCTCCTAGTCTTTGTATCAATGACATATAATAGTGGATGAGAATTGAGGGATCCTGGTAGGTCATTGGTAAAATCAGGAAACAGTAGTGGGTTCAGAATTGAACCTTGAGGCACACTACTAAGCATCGGGAACTAATTATGTAGAGAGAAGCCAACTCCAACTGACTGCAACCTGGTGTGAAGGTAATCTTTAGGTCAAATTAGTAATTTTCCCTGTACACCCGTAAACTGAAGTTTCTTACATAGGATATCATGAAATACCCTGTCAACAGCCTTAGAAAAGTCAAGTAAACCAATGTGAATGGGCTTTTCTGCCCGACAGGGAGAGTTCAGCTATTCCAAGCTATCAGTAAGTTGGTGTCTAATGACCTTCCAGGTTTAGCAACCTTCAAGTTCATTATAGGTTGTTATTTGCAACTCTCAGTTGTCACACTGGATGGAAGTGATTGACCTCCATTGGCAAACGGACTCCAATGCGGATGCCCCAATACTGTCGACTAACCACAACAAAGTTCATCGCCCAACATCAATAGTGTGAGAGCAGGGGACGGAAGGTTTATGATCCAACATTTGTAGTGCGATCGTAGAAAACCGGTAGTGTTCGACCTCTCACGTCTCGCTCTTGGGGCCTGGTTCGTATTGGCTGATTCGCTCCTGCGGTGGACAAGGAAATCTCTTCAGCCACTGCGAAATGGTTCCGTTTGTGGGTTGGCAATTGTAAGCAGAGTGAGATGGTTAGAGGGCGGCTGGCTACTGTGAAGTTTTGGAGCCTTTCATGACCTCTGTCTTTGTATGCGCAAGGATCGGAATAGCTAGATGGTGGGAAAAGCGGTATGGAACTCACACGAAGGGTAAAAGTAGTCGGAGTGGGTTAGTTAGTAGATAGTGCAGGAATATCAAAAAGAGAAAGGTAGCGTGTGGTAAATGAGAAGGGAGTAGTGGTGAGCTAGTAAGGTCAGTGTTTCCCTTAGTAAGGTACTCCGCGGAGTACATGCTTTTAGGCAGAATAAGTTTGACCTGTGACTGGTGTTAGTTTTCTGATTTGCTATCCGATTGGCGTTTCCCCGTGATGACAGCCGTGTTTCAGGCAAAGCCGGTTTTTTTTGATTGATCTGCCTGATGGGTGATTTTATGGGCCATAATGAGGTCAACTCTCTTTCTGCAAAACTCCAAAGTGACCGAGTATGGATGTGCCTGGGTGTCAGGGTGTGCCTTTCCTCCTTAGTTCCACAACGGATTTCATCCCCGACCTCTGTATTTTTTCGAGGAGGTTGAAGTCTCCTTCGAGTGTTTAGGGTGTATACATCCGCAGGATTTGAAAACTGAAAAGTGGCCCAGGGCTGAGAGAGACAAGCTGTCTTCGAAGAAAGTGCTGAGTGGCGTTTGCTCAGACCGCCCTTTCTTCTGGTCTGGGGCTGGTTTCAGGATGTCTGAGGAGCTGAGCCCCAAATATCTTTCCGCCGGTACCTTTGTGATGGCACAGTTGTTAAACTTGTATTGGGATTCGGCTGTCAGTCCCTCGTGGGTCTCAGTGCGTACTACTTTTCGTTCCTTCAGGTTAAGGCTGAAGCCGTTTTCCGATGACCAGAGCTTCAGTGGCTGCAGATCATTTTGAGGTGCAGTCAGCCTCTTCGTTTACTACCGTCACATTTCAGTGTGGCCGATGGAAGAGAGGGTGGGTGGGCAAATGTTTTGTGGCAGAAAGTTGACCAACTGGAGGGGCGATAGTGGTTTCAGTATTGCTCCTTGGAAATTCCCTGACGCCAATGGTTTTCTTTACAACCATATTCTGCCTACCTCTAGGTACAGTTTATACCAATAGAGTACAGGTTCACCTTAGCTGGGTCGAAAAAATAACACGTACTTGGATTTCTGCTATTTCGGCTATAATTTCGGTCATTCCAGGCAGCCAGCAAGTCGTTGGTGTATGAACGACCACTCCGACAGCCATGCCGCAGAAATCCTAGATCTCAATAATGATAATGGTAATATTTATTCCCAAATATACAGGTGCACGCCATTTTTACAGGTGTGGATAGGTTAACATGTAAGTTACATACCTCGTTATGGCAGACAATCTCAACCCCCACCTATTGCCACCAGAAGATATAAGTTCTGCATGTTTAAATGCGAAGCATCCCAGCAGAACGAGTGTACGAAAATTTACGAGTTGGACGAGTGTAAGTGTTGGCCTCGCATTAACAGGGAAACCAGGGTTCGTATCAGGCTATCGGGCCTTCTGACGCCTTGGACAGCACAGAGAGTAGGGTGATCGGTCCGTAGCCGCCGCACCCTTATCCTTCTCCTCCCTTAAGGATGGGCCGCGAGACCACGTACTTCCATTTGACAAAACCAGTAGCGGAGTCCAGGTGTGATGTTCACGAATTTTCGACGACGGCGTGTCAAAGGGGAGCCATTTGCAGCACGAACCTGAACAAGGTCACTTGCCCCTCATTTACTGAGATAATTACCCCGGCGATTTCCGTGGTATTCATTAGGAAGCATATCCAAGAACAAAAGCAAGCCACGTAAGGGAAACGACAAGCAAGGTAATAAACATTGACATTGACTAATATCATCTGTAGACTTTCCATCAAAGGAGCACGGCCGACCACAACTTTTGACATCGGTGCCCTTCTCCCTGTCGTGTCCACACAATGTACGTTATGACTGGGTGAATTAAAACTGTCATCATTTTGTTCCTGACGAAAATGTATCGTCTGATCAAAAAAGATGGTCATGGTGTAGCTGGTGTTTGTGTAACTGTTTTGGTAAGCTCCGCCACTTTTCAAGCTGGCACTCATCACGGGCTGACGTCAGCTAGAGGAACGTTGGAAGCCTAGGGGTACTGAACAGCCGTTTCGTCCCAGTGCGGGACTGTCCAGCAGTGAGCACCCGCGAGTGTTACCATTAAGCTACTGGGTCGGAATTCGACCGTCCGATGGTTCCAATAATAAATCGCTACCAGTGGGGCAAATCTGGCGGCCGTGGGGGTAAATACTCAACGATGACATTGGACGGTGGTTGCTCTTTGTCGTGAACTGAAAGAAGTTGGAAGTATGGGCTATCGGATTTCGACCCAGTGGCTCAATGGTAACGTGCTGGCCACGGAACCTGAAGGTCGTGGGTTTGATTCTTGACGGGTCGTGAGTGTTCATCGCTGAACAGTCCCATACTGGGACAAAACAGCTGTCCGATGCTCCCAGGTTTATGATGTTCCTCCAAATGGCGTCAGTTCATGATAGATACTAACTTGAAAAATCTCTAAATCCCCACGAACCCCTAAATTCAGACTTCATTGTTCTTCCTTGCGTCAGGTTTGTCAATTATTACTTTGAGGTTTGCGGAGATTCCAGCGGTAGTTCGACTGTGTGCATTTGTGTTCGGTCACACGGGGAAGCTGCCTTCACCGCAGAACTTGGTTGCTATCTAATAATATGTACTGTCCCATCTGCTTCCCCACTTAATTCAAGTGTGGCGGGATTGTGGAAAGAAGCCAATCATTAGGCGTAAACGGAACCATACTGATCCTCATCAGTTGCAAAACGCTAGTTGTGTTGGTACTACCCAGCACTACCGTTCCTGTATCAATCTATATGTGCTGATATCAGGCGAACCAGCACTCTATCCACCTGCGAAAGGTGTGGGCGAAAGACAAAGAACACTTCAGACTGCTGAAAAAGCACAAACGAGCGATGTCTTCATGGGTGTGGGGTTGAATATTATTTTTTGGGGCAGGTTATAACCCACTTGACAATAATGGTTGGACTGTTGTCAGTATGGGTAGCAGATCTGCGGCATAGGTAAGACGTTCGATTGTAAGAAGAATTTATGGTCTACATTCTTTCCCTGACACTCCCAGCACAATTTAGTGTTGTGAGCCTCGGTGTCAAGACTAGATGGCGCGCTTGTTTAGGGAGGGCAGGGATCTTCGTGTGAGCTAGCGCTACTAGACATTGGCACTAAAATGACCGTGTTGGAATTGGCAGTGTCTAGTGCTCTACCGGCTGCTTCGGTCATATCGATCGATTGAGAGTGAAGAACAGGTGCCAAGGTTCCTTTGGTCGTCTGTGGCAATCTCTGCAACCACGGCTTTTGGAGAAAAACACCATCATTTTCGAGGTCCGAAACCAGCTGCTTCATCTGCTGAAGCATTTTGGCTGGCTTATGATCATGGAGATTCATACCCTCTAAAAGATTTTGCACCTTCTGCCAGTCAGTAAGAGACTTCCAGCGCGTGAAATCCATCCTTCCAAATCATCTTCCGTTGCTAGATGTCAGCTTTTATGATGCTGAATTCCGGCTGAAATGGTAGGACTAGCTGGAATTTTAAATCTCCTCTCATTTGATGTCAACTTACGACGAATAAGACAGGTTTTTGTACAACCGAAATGGACTTGGAATTTATACCACATCATTGTTCTCAAGGAATTCAGTCCCCTTATAGCTCTGAAATGTTGGCGCGGAATGATGGCGAATTAATTATGCCTACAAAAAAGTTTTGAACTGTGGAGAGAATAAAGTTTATTTAAATACATTTGTAACGAACGTATACGATGATGTTATCTAATTTCGGTCATACTTTCAGTGAAATTCAATAAAAGTAAGTTTATTACAAATATATCTATAACCAATTGCTTATTGCCACACTCTAATGCTTTCTGGCAACGATACCTGAATTCTTAGCTAATTGATAAGAATTAATCCCGATGAAGGCCCACTGCCTACCCAGGCATACATTCTTCAGCGGTTCTTGCTATCAAGAACTGTAGACTTAACCTCAAGTTCATCTCAGCTATATACTTAGGAAAAGTGGTTTGGGTCTTCGGAAAGATCATCGACATTTGCGGAACTAATCTGTGCCACAGTTCTTGAAAAAACCACGCACTCCCCAAAAATTTATCCAACACCAACCGCCCATCGAGCTAACCCAAGCTACAGCAGGCGAGTAAGTAGACCTACCACGTCGAAACGCATTGAGAGCCTGGAACCATTCCGTAAAATTCAGAAGCTACTGAGAAGAAATCAATTGATTTTCGCCAGCTAGTAGAAAGTTATTGGATATTGGAATTATCAGTCCAGGTGCTCTTTTCAATATATGCGCTACGTCATCGACGTGGAAACTGGTAAGTTTTAATATATATTAATGGACTATAACGTCGGGTTTCGGGCTTAAAACTAGGCTTTTCATAAATAATAGTTCAACAGAATTGTTTTTGTATGCTGTATTCACCCTCCTTTAGCAATCAAAGCGAAGCCCTAGCAAACACTATATTGTACACAAATAAATGGGCGGATCATTTCCGGTTACAGCAACGTTAAAGTCTTTGTTATAATTTCTATGCAAACCCATCTCATTATTTGCCTTTAAAAATACTGAATGCAGTTGACTCGTTAGGTTAAACACTAAACCCCACCGGTACAGAATTAGACAATTTTTTAAGAATGATGTAACCCTGGAGAGAATTAATGTGAAAGTCTTAAAGAAATACAAAAGTTAGCCCATACTCTACGAAGGTTTCAGGTGATTTTCCATAACTCTAGTGTCCGTCCCACTGCTCAATGTTTCTCTTAAATTAGAGTACGCAAAATCATGTATATTACCCCCATATACTGAAGGTATGAGGTCGACAGTGTCGGGGGGAAAAGCGGAAGTAAAGGAATAACAAAATAAGTATCTTCATGGTCTGCACATTTCGCCTCATTTTTTCCATTTTTTGATATACGTAACATGTGTGCCAGAGCATTTTTACTTCCCGCTTTATTTGCCGACTAACTGCTATGCAGCCGGCTGAAAAGTATCGTGTAATGCTGGCTCCCGGCTCGGGTTTTCTTAATTTTCCTCTGAACAAGAAGACCCGAGGTTTTAGAATAGGCTATTCTTGATATCTTTCATAAGAAAACCTTTGTGGGTGCGGCTTATTGATGTAAACTCTTCACTGGCAAACGATGTGAACCAGGTTGAAACCCTGCTTCACCCACTTCATCCAGGGAAGCACATTAAAGCACAAGGTTTTATCCCAGTTTTGTGTAACTCTACCTTCAATATTACAACCAAGCAGCCAGTCCTTGCTTCATAGATTACAAGGCTCTGAACTGGATTCAAAGAGTCGAAACTACGTAGATTCCAGATCTAACTAACCTGTTCCTTGAGGGTCGTTTGGAGCGACAGTATCAGTTATCATTACTTCACCTCAGTTGTTGGATTGACCTAATATTCACATTCCGAACTCAAGTGGTGACATTGAGATTTATATCTTATTCTTCCTCTCCCTCAAAAATGTTTCCGAGACTACCCAAGAAACTTCAGAAACCACGAGTAAATCGATTTGACTTAAGCCCAAGCTCCCCGCAGAGTACTCAAGCACTGTGACTCCTCGCCGAAGCAGTCGCTATCAGCTCCTTTAGTGGACGCCTTCACAGTCACCAAGTGTTGGAGAGCTGTACTGCAAGGATTGACATGGAACAAACTAGTGTTGTCATTATTATTGAAGACCAAGTCCTAGCACTGCTCTTAAAATAATCTACTCTATTTGAAATTTGAGTGGGAACAGCACAACACTTTTATTTACGTATTACAGACGATAACCTCGCCTGGTTAACTAGTTCACTAGTTACTAGCCGGTCCTAAGCCCGGGTAAAGAGAGAAGGTTGGGCATAGGGCTAGCAACCCTACCCCGTAAAACAAATCTAACCGCTAAAGAAACTTTAAAGCAAAAACGAAATATAAAAAATAAAAACAAACTTATTCCTCGCTGGAATCGGAGAGCCGAAATGACGCCGGTTGGTGAAAGCCTTCGGGAAGCCAATTGGCCGATGTGTCCTCGCTTTTCTCCATGAAAGCGAAAGTAAACGTGGAGACATGGAATGTCCGCATCATGTTTGAACCCAGCAGGCAACCCAGATTGCAAACGAGATGAGAAGGTATAGCATAGAAGTGCTTGGAATCTGCGAGGAATCTGCAGATGGGATGCAAGTGGACTCTCCAAACTGTCAACTGGAGAATCAGTAATCTACTCCGATATTGTCACCCAGACGACAACCACGAGCACACTGAGGGAGTGGCTATCATGATGTCCCCAACAGCATCGAAGGCTCTCTCTCTCTCTCTCATGCAGTGGGAACCAATCTCCTCCAGCATAAGGATCATGACAGCAAGGTTCAACTCAAAAGGAAGGAAGGTCACAATCATACAATGCTATGCACCTACAAATAATGCAGATCAAGAGAAAAAGGAGGGATTCTGCAGACAACTGCAATCAACACTGGACAAGACGTCAGTTGGCGATATCAAAATTCTCATGGGTGGGGTGACATGAATGCCAAACTGGGAACGGACAACACAGGAAGAGAACTAACCATGGGTCGGGAAGCGCTCGGTGAGGTGATGAACGAGAATGGAGAATTGTTTGCAGAATTCTGTGCATTCAACGATTTGGTGATTGGGGTCAGGTAGTGTGTTCAAGCACAAGGATATCCACAAATCGACATGGATTTCACCAGATGGACACACTAAAAATCAAACCGACTTTATCTCAATCTCAAGAAAGTGGAGACGCAGCCTACTTGACACAAGGTCAAGAAGAGGAGCAGATGTAGGTTCAGACCACTCACACCAGTATCTAGTGCAAGGAATCTTCCAAATCAAGTTAAAAGCCTTCAAGGAAGCTGGTGATAGACCACAGTTCAAGTGCAACACCCAGAACAATAACTGAAGGATAAAACTGCGAAGAAAATCCTCACATCAACCATCAAGACAAAATGGGAGATATCGAGGAACATCCCTGAAGAAACCTGTGTGGAAGAACACTGGAAGTCTTTGGAAGAGATGTGGAAAGAAACCTGCACAGCCGTATTAGGAAGGAAGAAGAAAGAAGACAAAGAATGGATCTCGACGGATACCTGGAAGCTTATAGAGGAGAGGAGGATGGTGAAGCAGAAGATAAACCAGTGCATGGATGCTCAACGACAAGAGGAACTGAGTACAATGTATAAAACACTACACTGGGTAGAGAAGTGAAAAAGAGTGCGCGCAAAGACAAAAGATACTTCCACGACACACTGGCAAGTGAAGCAAAACAGGCTGCAGGTAGGAGAGACCTGATAACATTGTATCAAATAACCAGGTTGCTATCTGGGAAGAGATCAACGCAGATGAAACCAATAAAAGATGATGAAGGAAACTTATTCACCAAAGAGGAGGTACAAAGAAAACGATGGGTCGACCACTTCAAGAAGCTCTTGAATCGACCACCACCTGCATTTCGTCTAGAAATACCACCTGCAGCCGCTGAACTACAAGTGAACATAAATCCTCCAACAGAAGTGGAATTCCTGAACGCCATAAAGCTACTGAAATGTGGGAAAGTAGCAGGACCAGATGGGATCCCGCCAGAAGCACTGAGAGCAGACGCAGAGACAACAGCGGACATGCTCACACCACACCACTATTGCAGAAGGTGTGGAAGGAAGAGAAGGTACCTGCTGGTTGATTGGAAGAAGGGTTACCTTGTCAAACTGCCGAAGAAGGGAGACCTCAGTGTTTGCAAGAACTGGCGCGGAATCACTCTCCTGTCCACCCGAAGCTAGCAAAATATTCAGCCACATCATCCCGGGGAGACTAAGGGATGCGCTGGATTCAAAACTACGACCGGAGCTAGCTGGATTCGAAACTTCGACCGGAACAGGCTGGATTGAGGAAGTATAAATCATGTGCGGACCAAATTGCAACGCTACCCCACGCATCATCCTAGAACAGAGTATAGAATGGCAGTCAACCCTCTACCTCAACTTCATCGACTTTGAGAAGGCCTTTGACAGCGTCGACCGAGAGGTAATTTGGAAACTGCTTCATTACTTCTGAGTACCGCAAACCTTTATCAGCCTCATTCAACAACTGTATGAAGACGCCACATGCCAAGTAATTCACAATGGGAAGCTCAGCTCAGTGATGCTTTTGAAGTGAAGACAGGAGTGAAACAAGGTTGCCTACTATGCCCCATGATATTCCTGATTGTGGTCGACTGGGTCATGCAGCAAACAGTGGGGAGCTGTGAGAAGAGGGGGATACACTGGATCGGGAAAAAGAACCTAGAAGATCTGGATTTCGCCAACGATGACTTGTGTCTGATATCACATAAACTTGATGATCTACAGGCGAAAATTAACAAGTTAACAGAAGAGGCGAGGCAGCGAAGACGGGACTTCCTTCAGGTGAATACAGAGAAGACAGAAGTGATGAAAATACCGCACCACCAACAACAACAAACTCCAATCACCATGAACGGGAGAAACTTAAAGGAAGTAACCTCCTTCACCTATCTAGGAAGCACTGTTTCAACTACAGGTGGCACAGACGAGGATATCAAAGTCAGAATCGGAAAAGCAAGAGAGGCGTTCATCAGCCTGAAACCAGTGTGGAGATCTTCTGCACTCAGCATGCGGAACAAGATCCGGATTTTCAACACCAACGTCAAGTCAGTGCTTCTATATGGTTCAGAGACTTGGCGCGTTATGAAAGGGATTTCCAATAAACTACAGACATTCATCAACAACTGCTTACGCTCGCTACTGAAGATCAGATGGCCAGAAAGAATAAGCAACAAGGTGCTCTGGAAACAAACCAACCAAGAACCTATCACGCAACAAATATGCAGGAGGAAGTGGAGATGGATTGGGCATACACTGAGGAGGCCGACTGAGGACATCACGCTTCTGACCAGCCCCTCGAGTGGAACCTCGATGGAAAGCGACGAATTGGGCGTCCGAGGTGAGGGTGACATGGAGGAGATCGTGCGAGGAGGAAATGAGGGCTTGTGGGCTGTCGTGGAGCCAGGTTCAAAAGATTTCGGAGAACAGAGTGAACTGGAGACGTGCTACTGAAGCCCTATGTTCCATTAGGAAGCCGAGGGACTAATAATAATAATAATAATAATAATAATAATAATAATAATAATAATAATAATGTTGTAGGTTAGATGGACTGACTAGTTAGCCTAACGAAATAATACTTCAGTATCAGTCGTTCGTTATGTCTTGAGTTCCAAGTTGATAGTGATACCTTTGCAGCCTCTCAAAAGCCAAGTTTGAGATAAGGACACATAGAATAGCTGAGTAAAGAGCCCTCAATAATAATGTCCATGAATTCTAGACATCGTTGGGTACAAATAGTCAGAGCTTATGGATTTTCATAGTTGAGTTTATTCAACAGCAGACTGCCTTTGTTTTTAATTTTTACAGAACCTATTAGTGACATGCCTGGGGTGTAGCTGACCGGTCTATTAGTATGTTTACCTGCTTAGGAGACGTCATTGGAGTCCAAACTACACTCATTAGTTACGGTAGTCGGCTTCCAACCAGTGAGTTACGGGTTCTAGCTCCGATCCACTCACCGACGTTTAGGTATTCAGGTAGTATTACTGGTTCTTATAACAAGTGTGGCTCATCGCCTACTGCACATTCGTGCAGTATATATTGCGCTGATATTTATCATATTCTGTCAACTTAGTTTATCAATCACTCAACTATATTTGTTCATTAGAGAATCTATTCATCACGTGTGTACCTAGTAAACCGGTATGTTCTCGTGTTTGCAGGCTCTTGTAAATTCAGTAAAACACGAAACAGTGATTACAGTAATCTGCATTTAAAAAATCGCCGACGACAACCTGTTGTTGTGGACGAATAGTGTAAGTACCTGAGCTTTAGAAGTAATTTTTTAACGAAGAGCACTCACAGCTACCTTTTAAAAGTCTACTAGAGCGAGACTAATGCTTTCAAGGTGGCGCAACTACTGTATCTAAATTAATATGGTTTGGAAGTCAGAGATTACAAGATTATCTATGCTCTCCGTCAGCCTGTACGTCAACGTAGCCTACTTGGCTTTTATCCTCAAAATGTGAAAAACCAGACGATACATACCATTGGTTATATGGCTACAAACCGACCATATTCCGAATGTACTCCCTACCATCGAAATTCTAAACGTTGTATCGACTATTATCTACTTAGCCTTTCGTATCAGTTTTATTTGGGATTCTAGTGTTATTCTGTTTCTGCTGACTTTTTGTTGTGTTACTAATTGTCTTGATGTGAACTGATGAGTTTTTGTGCCAAGTTCTACGTCAACCTGTTGATCTGGACACTTACGTAAAAAACGGTTTGCTATGCACCTAAAGGTGTTTTGGATTGCAGTTTTATCTCCATCCCGGCATTTCGATTAGGCGATTTAAACTAATGCATTGAAAATTCCTGATTGACCGAAGAAATGTATTCCTTTCCATTAAGGTATTCGTCTTTGTCTCTACACTAATATATAAGTTTACAATTCAATCAAACATTAATCGAATTTGAGAAATCAATATGCAAATGATCAATAGAATAGTTATACGGGATTGAAAATGGTAATTAAAATAATGTGAAACAGGTTATTCTTAAACAAATTGTACGGTAACTGTTAGAGTAAGTGCACTTTGCCTGAGAATAACCTGTTTCACATAACTATAATTACTATTTTTAATCCCGTATAACTATTGTGTTGATTATTTGCATATTGGTTTCTAAAACTTATCATCTTCATGACTTAAAATCTGTAATTATTTATCATTCCCCACTACTTAATCGGTGTATTGATTGAATTGTAAACATATATTAGTGTACAGCCAAAGACAAAGGCCTAATGGAAAAGAAATATATCTCTTCGCCCAGTTTTTTTTCTAAATTTGGATTAAATCGGTATATGTCTTCCAAGCGATTTATTGAAGATATTTTAAGCAAGGTTTACTGTAATTGTAACTTGTGTGTATCTAGAGGTTGCAGAAATGAAATGATGTCTAGTTAACTACACACTGGACTATCTGATAGGCATGCTATTATAACTGACGACTTGATTACAATTCACTATAATCGAACGTTGAATATCCGTATGATATATATATATATATATATATATATATATATATATATATATATATATATATATATATATATATATATATATATATATATAAGGAATTGTATCACCATTAGCGTAGAAGCATGATGTGAAAGAATTATAAAAACGGAGAATTGTCTGTTGTTTCATTCCCTTAGTGGGATTATGTGCAATAAATTGCACTCGAAGCATCATTTAGCTAGTAGTGTTATTTCACTGTTTTGTATCAAATGAGCACGATATAGTTGTTTAGCAATCGAAAAACTTAATCCCCTCTTGCACGAGTTGCAGTCTGTTAAAGCTCTTACAGAAGTGATGAAGAAGTATTCATATTTTTCTGAAATCCAGTCGGACGGTGTATGAAAGATGGAAGTGGAAATAATGGATAAGTCAATTAATGTAGCTTTGTATTTAGCACAAGAAGAAAAATAGCATGTTCGGACGCTGATGTCAATGCGTCCCCAAACAAACCCACTTAAAATGTACTTTCTGAAATAGTGGATGAAGGATGTATCCGAAGCACTTCATTGTGCTTTTGCTTGCAATTCTGTGGGAAACAAATACATCAGTAGCGAGTCCTTCCAAAGCCTTATCTGAACCTGTTTGTGCTTTAATTTGTATCATGATGCTAATTCCGAAAATGCGAGACTTGAGGACAGGTAAAGTTTCAGGATGGCTGGTTATCGAACTAGGTACTATTTTTGTGCAAGCAGCCGTTAAGTGACAGTAAACCACACTGACAGACGAAAATTCAAATACTGTGGAATAGCCAAAGAAAAAATAGTAAGTTTAAGACACCAAAGCTTATCTCTCAATGCTGCAACGAAATAGATAATTAAGTGGAGCCTGTATGCAATACTTGTGATCTGTCGTCAAAATGCTACCGAAATTTTCACTGTAAAGTGGGGTCCCATGGTTTCTGTGAGTTGAAAAATGTTTTTTGCGCCCAGACTTATGCAGGTAGTTGTCTTAGACTACTCTTCAAAATTTTAACTTCTCAGATCCGCAGCGCATTAAATGAGTGTCAAATATCATATTCTCATCGTTGCCGACATTCAGGATACACTGTTTCCTTTAGGACTCTGCGGCTAATGTTCGTAAGTTTCAACAGCTACTCTGAAGGAGCCTTCAACTAAATATAAACTTTAAACATCATGTGGTTTTTCAAAGGATCATTCGCTGTGAGACTTGCGTGTACGTTGGATATGACTGAAAAGTTATTTATATTTTACATTATATTCATCCGTGCAGTGAACAGTATTGGTATCTCATCACTCATTTGGTTTTCAACTTGAAATTAGCAGTGCCAGTAGTTTGACTACGTAGAGTTTGTTGTAAGAATTTCTCAGCTTCCATAAGATGCATCTAGTGCACCAATGAATGTAACGTTAGTCGCTTGGCAACCAGATCACATATTTGCGGAGATTCTCAATTTGCGTAAAAGCGGTAGTCTTTTCAGGAATGCATTTTCAAAGTAAAACATCTTAGTAAGAATGAAGGGAGCTCTCTTTAAGGTATTCGGTGAAACTCTTTACCAAAGTGTTTTGTAAACAGACAGATGGCATATATCCACAGTGTTGTTAACACTAGTTCTCGCAACTTAGCGACTTTATCTGATGGTTCACTAAATTATTACGTATATACATGTTTATACAAAATTCTTCATATAGCATAGGACATTTCTGTGCTTGGAAAAGTTGAATTCATGGTGTGATATTGTATCCAGAGTTTTTTACCGGTGCTAAATGTACACCATGAGAAGACTGGGTAATCAGCCTTTTTTGTTCAGTAAACCGGTCTGTGCAGCTGACATTCAGTTATTGAAATGATGGTTAGTACGTCACCCATCAAGGTTTTGGCAACTAAATAGTGCCACTAGACCTCAAACAATAGGTGTAGTAATTGATTTAGTACACATACCTGCACGTGGCTGCTTAGCTACACCTTTCGTCCTTCATTTGAATCCCTTTAATTTATTAGTAGTCTGTTCAAAGCTCAATACATATGTTTCCAAGGACTTAGAACAAGCAGTAGTTTCTCGTTGGAATTTAAATTAAGAGATTTTGTCCTGTTTATATGGAAACCATAAACTATTAGATTTCATAAAAGGTCGACTATTCAACTTTCAGCAGGCTTTCTAGATGATAATAATAATCTACTGCAACCCTGACCATCATCAACCTTCAGCACAATCATCAGTGTACGATTGGACACTATCTTCACCTTTTAAGTTTCTTGTCTATATAGTATCAGGTGGTGGTTCCACTTATGTAGAATTTATTTAGTACAAAAGTAAAACTTGTGCACTATGTCAGAATGTAATTCCACTTTAGTTGACTTATTAGATTTATCACACAGTGGAATAGTATTGTTCACTGGATCACGTTTCGGACATAATTTATTATCCATAGTCATAAAAAGATGCTTACTATGACTATGGACAGTGAATTATGTCCGAAATATAATCCATTAAATAACACTGTTCCATTGCGTGATAGATCTAGTAAATCAATTAAAATAAAATTTATTTAGATTCTATCAGCCAGATAAACAGATCAGCGTAGAACTGTGGACAGAAGTGGATAAACTCACTTCTTATTCTATGGTAGTATCTTAAAAAGAATTGAATAAAAATTCACTGACAATAAATTTGACAAAAAGAGCATGAGAAAAAAAAGGGATAATCTAATGAAGGTTAGTGGAAATATTCGAAATTTCGAAGGTGATGAAAATGGATTTACCTGTAGCATTATGATCGGTTTTTATTCCGGATGCTAAGAGTTCCTAAGCATCGATTCCCAACTTCCTGAAGACTACAGTCAAGCAACCGTTATACCATAGCATATATGAGACCTATTATATGAATAACATTGCAGTATGTACACCAAGTTTTTCTTTTTGCAAATTTTCGTCTTTCTAATTTTTAGTTTCAACACTATGGCTAATGATCAAATATGCTATACGCTAGTAAGTTTATCGTCTGAAGCCAAAGGATACACTGAGCAAAAACTCAAAGAAGATTTGCAAAATAATGATGATAATGTTAAACGAGAAGCACTAAAGGAACTTATTCGATTAATTATTAGTGGTGAAAAGTTTCCCAATCTGCTGATGACTGTCATTCGTTTTGTTATGCCATCTAAAGACCATATGATCAAGAAACTGTTACTTCTATTCTGGGAAGTTGTCCCTAAGTATGGTTCAGATGGGAAGCTTCTGCATGAAATGATACTTGTTTGTGATGCTTATCGAAAAGATTTACAACATCCTAACGAATTCATCCGTGGGTCAACATTACGATTTTTGTGTAAATTGAAGGAACCTGAATTACTGGAGCCTATAATCCCATCTATTCAACAGTGTCTAGAGCATCGACATGCTTATGTTCGACGGAATGCAGTGTTGGCAATCTTTACGATCTACAAAAGCTTTGACTCACTTATTCCTGATGCTCCAGAGAAGATTCTGCGATTCCTTGAACAAGAGCAAGATCCTTCTTGCAAAGAAATGCTTTCATGATGTTACTTCATGTTAGACAGAGTACCGCGCTTGATTATCTAACCACTTGTTTGGATGAAGTTCAGAATTTCGGTGACATTCTACAACTTGTAGTTGTGGAATTAATCTACAAAGTAAGTCCTAGTGTGTATACTTCTCTTATCTGTTCAGGTATGTCTTGCTAAACCGTCTGAAAGACTTCGGTTTATTCGATGCATTTACAGTCTATTACAATCTAGTAGTGCTGCTGTACGCTATGAAGCTGCTGGAACCTTGGCAACACTTAGTTCTGCACCAAGTGCGATTAAAGCAGCTGCAAGTTGCTACATCAACTTAATCTTGAAAGAAAGTGACAACAACGTAAAATTAATCGTTTTATCACGCCTCACTGACCTACGTCAATATCATGAACGCGTTTTACAAGACCTTGTTATGGATATAGTACAAATTATAAGTAAGTTTATCTGTTTTACTAATTAACCCTTCTTGTCGTTATTAGATGCTTCTGATATGGAAGTTCGTCAAAAGGCACTTGATTTAACGATGGATCTAGTGACTGCTCGTACAGCTGAGGAACTAATTAAAATATTCCGTAAAGAACTTATCAAAGCCTGCAGTACAAATACACGACCCGCAGCTCCAACTGGTGATGGAGGCAAGTCGTCTGGAGACGATGATCAAAATTCTGATGAATCTGTTTATCGTTACTCACTAGTCCATACTGTATATGATATTGCCTTACGGTTTCCAGAAATATTGCCGACTATTGTACCAACTATTTGTGATGTGAGTATTCTTTTCAGTAAACAGGCATTCTATATTTTTTTTCCGATTCATTTTCAGTCCAGTTATTTACATTGCTAAATCTTCTCTCTTCACATTGATTTTTTCAGAGAACTGGGGATTTCAATTAGTAAACTTCTTAATTCCTAGTTAGACTTATCATGTGAAACTCCTTTTTTTAGGTACAGTGCTGAAGACACCTCGTTTCATGTTGAAACGTTTGTTACTAACACTGTAGCTCACAGTGACGAAGCTTGAATGTATATATTAAGACTTGTTCTACAATCAATTAGAGTTTCACCTACAACTTAATCTATTGATGATACCACTTCGTACGAATACGTAAGAAGCGAAATAATAACAGTGCTAAAAATACGAATAATATTGACATGAGTAGAAAGGAGTTTAGAGCCTCTATTATGTTACCATGTAAAGGAGAAACATGAGGAACTTTACGTAGGATCCTTAGCAAGGCTGGACTTAGGGTGAAATTTAAACCTACAAACTTAGAGATATATTTTGTCCACCTAAGGATTTGATAGATCCAATTAAGCGAAATAATTTAACCCACTAAGTCCTATGCAGTGACTGTGAGGTCAAGCACGTAAGTCACACTAACCGATGGGGGGCAGTTAGATGATTGGAATATAAAATGAAGGATCCCAATAGGATCTATAAAAAAAAACTTGGCTATTGCATTGCATGCATTAACACACAACCATACAATGCTGTGAGATAAAACTGCTGTACTTAAGTCCAATGTAATTAGGTAGGGAAAATTATTAATCATCGAAACTTTGTTTATTGAATCAACATCCAACACATGTAACAGGAATGATGCAACACCTACACCCGAAATATGGAAAACGTTACTGCCAATAAAAACAAAGAATATTAGGTGACACGACTATAAAAGTCAGAAATCGAAAGCAGTGTGATTACATTGATATGGTTATGATAAATAATTTATGCTCGAAATGTCATACTGTGCTGCTGTACGCTACGTACCAAATAAACAAATCTTATAAGGAATTACATTCTACCACAGTGCCCAAGTTTTACATGTATATTAACCATCATTTTCTTTTGACAAACATTTCCCTTCAGAAGCCCAATACCTTTACAATCTATGCACAATGTCTGTATATTTCCAGTTCTTAACTGTCACAAACACTTCATCATTTAATGTGAATATGCACATTGAGTAATTTAATTAAAATCGCTCAAGTTACTCACTAGTAGTATGTAGCATAACTAGTATACCTATCCAATGAGTTGGGCTTAATTGTTTGGATCACCTTCATTGCGCTGAATTTGATCTTAGGAAACTGTTACATGAAACGGCGGGACTTTAACAAGAATGAATAGGTCCTTTATTCGTTCTGTACTCATTTTTGATTTATTTTGTTATCGGATCACTTTCAGACTGCACAGACATACTGTATCTAACAATATGTTGTTGAAAGTGCATAAATATGGGTTGAGGAAGTATGTAGCGACAACTTGGCGTATGTCAAACTCTAATACAAATATACATTCACTATATCTACAGCCTTCTCATTAACAAAGAGCCTCCGATTGTGTACAACTGGGGGCTGGGTTGCTATTTTTTGTCCGTTAAACATGTTGAATAATTCCTTTGACCCAAAATAATGCTTGTGAATGTAAATTTAAAGGCAAGGTAATGTAACAGTTGCTTAGAGCCCGGCATTAAGGTTTTTTAGTGGACAGGATCCCATGTTTTAAAAGATACTAAGATTGCTGTCTTCACATTGAATGTGTCGGGAAAAAATCACTTCGGTTTTATGCATTATGCTCAATATTCTAAATATGATGAACTAGATTTGAGCTTGTTGTTTATTATATGGCTGGAAATTATTTACTCTCCTGAATACTGAATGTTTACTTTTTAATTCGAAAGATCCTAACCTATGAGGAAGTCGATGATACACGAGCTGCTAACGAAGCCTGTAGATTTTTACGTGAAGCATTGGAGCGATTTCCTGAAAGAAAAGCTGAAATTCTAGAAAAATTAATGCAGATTTTCCCATCTGTTGTTGGACGGGAAACTCTTCGTCATTTATTATGGATCTTTGGTGAATACTGTACAACTTATGAAGAAATTAATGCTTTTATAACTCTTGTTCGTCAAGTAAGTTTCAATTACATGTTATACTAAAATTTTGTGTATGATATGACATCAATTAGTATCACTATTCGTCATTACTTTTGATATCTCCTTGGCACGATGAAGACATTTAACAAAATAATATTACATATAGTGATATGACATTGTGAAAGTACGACGGGTGAAAAAGACAAACAACAACGAAAATAGCTAGAAAGAGACAAGTAATCACTCAGCATATACTCAGGGTAGCTATTACTTACAAGTAGGTGACTCCACTAACTTCACTTTTGAACTGTTTCGTTATTTCTTGAGCCACTAAGTCATATGATTTCTAGGATTCTATGAAAAAGAATCATCAATGAGTATCAGCGAGAAAAGCAACACGCATATCCTTTGTGTTATAGCAAAGTAGAACCGTGCACTGAATTATATCAGTTCACATTATCACACTACACAACAGTACAAAAATGCCAACAAACAAAAATAGAATGGTATAAAAACAAAAGAGAAGAATATGACAGTACTTCTAAATAATGTGGCTGGTTTCGTGTTATGTAACTGGAACCCTCGAGCCATTAACTTCCGACATCTCGAGGTTCCTAACCCGAAGGCTTACAATTTCCCATATGGCCTAGACTAACAATCAGAAACTTAGTAGCTCAATCATCTCTTGATCTGACTACGCTTAGCTTTCTTCCAATTTAATCCTACTTCAATTCGCACTACATATCAAAGTGGTCAGTCGCCCAATATACCTTGGATTTCTTTGCCATCTTAGCTGGACATCTTGTCCTACTACTATCTGATGTCACATCCTAGCGATACTATGAAGATATCTGTAACCTCCTCGTATTTCCTGAATACAAAAAGTGACTGCTTCACTACTATCCAGAACAAACTTCTGTGCAGTACGCTCATCGTTTGATAAATATTCGGATGTTCATTTTTCAAGCTATCTAAACGTGGTTCGATTGTTTATATACTACAAAAAATTTGAGGTCCAAGGTCAAAGTCATACTACCTCTGATGTGGTATGATATATATGTAATAATATGCTAAGAGTGGTATAATGTATTGTTACTAGGATTCCCGTTGGTGATATTTTTTTTCGAATTTACAAATTCAATACTATTAATTGTGAATCAGAAAAATTTAATAAAAACTGTGTATAGGGATCTAGAGCAACTATCCCTTGGACTTTGTGGTCATATTTTACATAGTCGCCTTCTAGATCTTCTTCGCATGCATCTGCTAATAACTCCATCCAGAACTTCTTCCCGGTTCACAGCTTACAACAACGATTTTGCTTCACAAAACACCTTGTCTATTGAGACCATATTTCAAGCTGTATATCAAGGTATCTAAACTTCATGTCGAATCAGACATAAACTTTTGTCTACTTCAGTATCATTCCTTTTTCCGTGTACTTCCGACTGTAAAGTATCTGTTGTTTTTGCATAAATACAGAGTTCAGGAAGGATCTGTTTTCTACAAAAACTCTCACCCTTGTTGTTTTTCAAAGACCTAAATATTCTCATTGAGTCATCAAGTACTCTTCGACGGTGAAGGAACTGAATGGTTCCTGCGTTACTTCATTAAACCCGCTTTAGCGAAAAATGAAATTTCTTTTCTGTAAAGCTGTGCTAAATATTAAAAATACGCTAAACATTACTGCGAACTGCTTCATCGCAGAATCAAGAACCGTAAGACGTTATACAATGAGTTATATCGATGAAATTTGATCTCTTGTTCCTGAACAAAATGAAAACAGTGCCAAGATCACGTTCATTGTACAATATTTTAGATGACGAGCTGCAAAAGTTCAAGAATTTTACGAATTCAGTTATTGACTGTAGATGTGGAAATTCTAACAGCAGGCTTCAGTAAAGTCTAAAGTCGACTGACGTTACAGATATTTTTGTAGCATCACCGACGATAACGTTTTCAATTACTCTCTGAGTAAGACTATCACTGGTTCAAATCAAAATTCCATCACTTGATCGTTAATACACCTGTAAATGGAAACCAAAGAAACTCTATAGTCATGTCAAGTTTAAGAATCGTATTTTTCAGACGGATGATCGAACTGCTTCATCTATAAAACATCTTCAAACACTTCAAATTCATATTACTTGATTGTTTTCACTAATTTTCAAGTATAATGAAAACAGTTTAGTCATCTGGCTAACAATCATTAACTAGCTGAAAGAATTTAAGTGTAATGACGAAAAGAGTAGATCAAAGACAATTGATTGTCAGCTGACTGATATTCTAAAAATGGATGAAAAATGAACCAACCATCAATCTTGAGCTATATGAAAGAATACAACTTTCTGGATCAATTATTGATCATCTATACAGAGAGTACCAAAAACCCTTAAGTCTGTCCTGCCGTTATGTCCAATTATGGATACACATGACTCACTTTATCATTCAGTCATTCAAAAGACAAGTTCCTAACTATTATTTACGTGATACATCCGAGTATTTAATATCAGTATACCGACAAGATACTTGAAGGCACTACTCCTAAGATGTACGTTTGATATGCAGTCCAGCGTCCATAACACCAACCACCAGTAAAGGTCCCCTATTAGCAGCTATCTTTTTGTCCAAACTGCGAAAATTATCCTGTTTATCAAACAGTCTAATTCCTACAAAAGATGTGTTGATGATACATTCATCGTTTGCGCTGAGAATTTCGATTTTCAGGAAGTACTGCAGTTGTTCAATAAGTGAAGTCATACTATTTTGACATATTGTTAGCAAGAAGAGAGGATAGGATACTTAAAAGATCCACTTATCAAAAATCTACGGGGAATAGGAAAATGACAAACTTTCACAGCTGGGTTTCCCATCAGTTAAAAGGAAAAATTTATCCATTTCTTTTCCGAAGGATTATTAGACGAAATTCGACTTCTGAGATCGACTTCCCTCGAAAATGGATTTCTAGGGATATTTATAAATAGAAACCTGTATTAGGATGCTACTCACCTGTCAGTCTCCTATTAGTATGAAGAAGCAGTTGTTTTTGAATTCAAAATTCAATGGAGATGCAACAAGTGAAATGCTGAAGTTCAAGTTAATGAAAGTTGTCAAAAGGACATTCTCTGCAGCCACCTTGCAAATCACATTTACTAGTTATTCAGTCACTTCTTTGTGCATATATCAGTTCACCTGCTCTTGTGAAGCTGGATATACAGGCCGTTTGTAGAGACACTGACCAACGCTGACATCAGCACTTTTCAGCATGGCTCAGTAAAGGTCGACCAATAGCTCCATATCCCAACATTTAGTTGGCAGTGGGCACTGTTCTGAAAAATTCGTCTGCAATAGTCTGCAAAATACAATCTAGTCTTTCAGAGGATTACAGGAGAGGTTTAATTTGTATTACCGAAGCTCCGGCAACTCACTCCTTAACTTTTAAACCTTGAAGTTGTTAAGTTAGAATAACCCTGTTTTGATTTTCATGTTGTCATCACTCAAGCGTTTTTACTTCAGTTAATAATTTCTCACTTCTTTTCACACTAATAGCTACTTACCCTCTTCGTAAAGTATTCTTCAATTTTTGATTTCAACTCACAACTACCGATCCACTTTGTCAAATGTTTTCATGTTGTTTACGTAACTTTTATTTTTCTGACCACAATCTACTCAGAAAGTTTAGAATGCATAAAATAATTCTGTTTCACGACATAAGCGAATTGCAGTGTTGTGAAGTCTCTGAGTGAAAATGCGAGTTGTCAGAAATTGAGAAATGTGGACTACTGAATTCCCACTCATTAGCTGAGTGATAACCTGCTTGCTTCAAGCTCTGATGGTCGTCGGCTTGGTTTATCTCTAAGTCATCACTGTATGTATTAAAGAGCCTGTTACAATCCACAGAATATGTAATCATACAATACTCCGACGCAATACGATTAACGATAGAACAATGACTTCTCAACTCGATATTCACCTGACACCAGAAGAAGACGTTGGGATTGCATTTATATCTACTTCAACCGAATAACAATAGCTGAAAACTCAGTCGTTTATGTATCCTTAGATGACCTTGGCCAGAGAAAACAATAGCATATTCAAAGTGTAAAATGGGCCAATCGGCGTTTAGTATCCTAAACTGCGGTAAAAATAAGTAACACAGCATGGCGCAAAAAGGGCGCGGAAATAAGGCTCAAATTTCACAATGATAATATAAACGTACTTTAAGTTAATTTTTTAGGGATTAGGCATCCCTAACAGAGTCCAAAGCTAGAATAAATTACTTTTACAATGTTCTCGAGTTTTCAATAGTTATTTCTTTACTGCTTATCTGCGCAGAAAACCACTTCGTAGAATGTAAAAATGTTTAAAATTTATTTCTTCGCCGCCATTAACAACACGAGTGATATATATATATATATATATATATATATATATATATATATATATATATATATATATATATATAATCAGTGCTTCGCAGACAGTAAAGGACAGTAGTTCAATACAGTCGCTTCATTAAGATGGAGGTCTGTTCAAGCCTGTCGATTTTTAGCTGGTGAAATCTTAACTGGTGTTTGCCAAGTTATTTTATCTGCGATGTAGATGAGATTTTCGATTATCTATTGAAGACCGAATGTACTGTTTAGGAATTCTCTTTTTTTATGATACTGTTATTTGAGTAAACTAGTAGAGTTAGATGATTCTTGAAGGTAATAGGTACTCACCTATCTTGGACTTCATAGGGTCCCCCACCTTATTATTTCTCTTTATTTATCACTTATACTGTTCACGAATTTTTTGCATAATATTTTGATAAGGTCATCGGTGAACTGCCCCTTGTTGATGAAGAATTACGCAGGCAAGCTGGTCAGATGAATTCTACCGATCCATCTGGCGAGAACCGAAACCAGCTATCTGTGCTTATCTCAGGTGACGTAAATTTGGGTGTCAATCCAGCTCAACGTGTTACTGCAGATGGAACATACGCAACCCAATCGGCTCTTACACTCCGTATGTTTCTTGTTACGAGATATGATAACATCTTTTCTTACCGAAAATAGTTGTCATAAAACGTATGTGTTATTACTTAATTGGTCATTAGCATTCGTTGCAACCAATACAATTCAAACAACCGAAAACATCTTACAATATGCATTGGTTCGGGGCTAACGCATATGAGAGATATATAGGAGATAATGTAGAATAATAAGCGAAGCTAAACTGGCTAACGTGAAGTGGCTAAGGCTTCGTTCGGTAATACCTGAGCTTGAGTGCCCACTTTCTCATATTGCATAAAAGGTAAACAAAATTGACTGATGGGCAAATAATAGCAGAATTATAGTGTCTTCAGTTTTCACAGCTAGAGGTGATGCATTTTGCACAGCTGTAATCGACTTCGAGCGATTGTATGTAACTTCCATATTAGATTTACCGATTCGATATAGAGCATACAATGATACAATATTATTTACTGGATAACATTTCAAGCAAAACTCCCAACACTTAGTTTTCTATAATCCTATCCGTAGGTATTCTTTGGTTTAAATGTTAATAAGATTCTCTGTGTATCTGGTATGCGTGTCGCATCATTTCTACTGTACGTATTATTCTTTCTTCTCAAGTGGTCTTTTCTTCCTACTCGTAGTCCACTCAATTTTACCTATCGAGGTGTATACAGAGTAGGCGTATACCACACGTTTCGACCATCTTATTCAGTGTCGGGTTATAACTTTATCAATTAATTTACTTTTATCTCCTAAAACACTGTTTAAAATCCTTTTTTTTCTATCGGCAGTTCCATCGGAAGCAAATGCGACTTTTAAGGCACCTCAAATAAGATACTTACAAATTCAACCATTGCAACTTTTCAGAGTCATTTTAGAAGAGAGAACACTTCCACTGTACATAAAACCTTTAGTAAACATAAGAACTCGATAAACACTTACGGGTTCGTATATTAGACTGTGAATCATACATGTTATATATATATATATATATATATATATATATATATATATATATATATATATATATATATATATATATATATATATATATATATATATATATATATATATAATTAGTTTACTAAATCTGAATAACGGAGTCGGCGTTTGAATATATGACCCGATGGACTATAGTCAACTGCCTAAATCAGTAAGCTCTCAATGAACATGCAGATACTTTGTTGGCATCCTCGTTGGTGTTAATTAGAACTTAAAATTCTTGAGATTTTGTTAACAATTAATCTATCAGCACTTGTTCAAGCACCCACATTGATGAAGCCACTTGTAGACTCAAACTACTCCCTTCTGAATATTCTCATTAGATGTGATCGCTGTTTAATTCCTAAGTGGATGTATCAAATGGTTATAAAGCTTTGAGAAAAAGATCTACACTACAGTCGTGACTAATCAAAGGGTTTACGTAAATACCTGTCTGAGATATATCTTTGATAATATATATTCAGGTAATGAAATAGCTCCAGGTTTGTATCCATAATATTCCTTCATTTTTCTTGAAGCTGGAGGGATTTGTTTTTTTATCTACATTTGCCATTCGAGTTCATTTTATTGTTTCCTGTCTTTCAACGGCGATATATTGACCATGAGACCCACAGGTTTTACAGTCGACAGTATAAACCACTGAGGGGTCACAGATGAAAACATTTCCTTATGCTTCTTAGTTTCGAAAGCTTTTTTCCCTATATGTTTTCAGCTTGTGAAAAAGCCTATTTCTTGTTGATTTTCTCTACCACTTCTATTTTTAGCGCGGTAAGTCAAACAAATGCCCTGGTAGAGTAGGTTCCACATTACCATTATTAACTAAGTGACTCAGTGATCATCATCATTATCAACATAGGACCAGGCATTACAGCGTAACGGTCCGAGTTGCCACACCTCACGTCAGTTCATCAAGTAAAAAGGTAGTGAGGTGAAGGATGAAGATAAGTGAATGTAGTCAAAAGAAATATAAAGTACGAGAAGAAAGGAAAGAGGAGTGACAAAATGGTGAGATTCGGTATAGCGCTGTTAAGATGAGGATAATGTGTGTATACATCTGCGCCACTGACTTCGGTTCTGAGCCATATCACCTAGGGTCTCCAACCACTGGTTCCTCTTGTCCCATGGACCCCAACCACCTAGTCTGCATCGTCCTACATGGCTTAAACCAACAGTCAGAGACTTCATACATTGGTGCCATGTTTTAGTCTGGCCACCTCGGGCCTTTTTCCAGCCTGGACCCACCTCAGCCAACATTGTGTGACAAGGCAATCGGTGACTGAGCATACGTAGTACATGTCCCAACCATCTCAGTCGATGAAGGTTCACAACCTCGTCAACTGACTTACCTCTTCTCCCCAAAACTCTACACCTAACTTCTGCATTACTCACATGGTGACACCACGGAATACGTCCTATACTACGAAGGCAACGGTGGTCAAACACCTGAAGCCTTTTTGTGTCCTCCACTTTCAATGGCCATGTTTCACAGCCATACAGTAGAACAGAGCGGAGATCTCATCGGCAACTAACGCACCAGGGTTGATCCTACTTCCCAGGTAAGTGAAGTGGTCAACACATTCAACCACTTCACTCTCTATTGTTAGCCGCGGTACCGCTGAAGACCAGTCCTGGAGCAAAAATTTGCATTTGGGTGGTGAAAATCGCATCCCAAACATTCTCAAATTCCCACTCAAAGTGTTCAGAAGACTCTGCATCTTGTCAGCATCACCTAACAGGACTATGTCATCTGCATATTCTAGATCTAAAGAAAACTCACCTGTGATCGGGTCAACGTCTGTGTAATTAGGTGACGAGAGGGAAACCTCCATAAGAATATCTATGATAAAATTAAATAAGAATGGGGATAGTGGGCATCCTTGACGGACACCACTTGATGAGTATAGCTCCCTGGACAACTCGCCATAGGCTCTAACACACCCACAAGTGTTCGAGTAGAGAGCTTTCAATAAGGTGATGTACTTACTGGGCACGCCTTTGAGTGACAGACATTGCCATAAGACTTCTCGATCAACGGAGTGGAATGCCGCCTTCAGGTCGAGAAATACAGCTATTGTCGTGATGCAGTAGAGGTTAGTCTAGTTGTGGGATCTTGTTTTTAAAAATCCTTATTCATCAGAATTTCATTGGATTATTTAATTCTATGTTCTATCAATAGTTATTGCAATGCAGACAAGTGTGCTATTGTGTAATCTATTCCTAACTGCTTCTTATATCTTGTGAAAACAACAGAGTGATTTTTGACCCGATAATTCACTGTAAAGGCTGTTGGCTTCAATCCTTTATTCACAAATGATGTTTGCCTGTTCCTACTAACTTATCAATTCAAAATATTCTTTGGGTAAATGTGATTCCAAATTAAAGTAAATAACTGATTGATTCTAACTTCTTAAATTTGTATTCAAGGTTCAAATAAAGATGCATCTGGTTCAACAAATGGTATCAAGCGACCTGTCCTACAAGCGGCTTTGTTTGAATCACACTATATGCCTGGAGTTGTACTATCTGTTTGTTTAGTCAAATTATTTTATCGTTATTCATTAATTCTCAATCAAGAACAAAAAAAGGTCAGTAAAGATGAAACGATGAAAACTAAACTCAATTCAAAAGAAAATTCATTTGCTGCTGAGTGTATGCTTATTATTGCTAGTATGATACATTTAGCTACAAGTCAATTGCTTCCACATCAGGTTAACCCTGACCATCTTGATCGTATGTGGATTTGTTTAAAAGTAAGTTCGTTTTCATCAATATTGTGTAGGTTAATGTTGCAAACCTGTCTTTTTATATCAATTCACTTTAGCTATATGTATTGAGCTCTGAATATTGATATCTGTGATTAGCTGTGGAATCTATGACCCTCTTTCTGTGGTACTCAGTACTTCATATTTGATTATATACCTGCCACATGGTCACTGGGGCACATCCTTCACAAAATGTAACAGTATTATAAAAATATAACGGAAGAGAGAGAGAAAGAAACAATGAACAAATGATCAAGAAACTAAAAGTAGCCACATTGTTTTGATTATTAATTAAACTTAGGTGATGAATGAAGGTGAAATGAAAATTTAGCCGCGGTACAAATATCAATACTAGTCTGCCAAACCACGGGTATCTCAGACAGTCAAAATGATATTGACTAAGCACTGAAAATGCAAGAAAACTGTGTGGTCGCTGTTGGTTTCGTTTCTGAGGAATATCTGACGTTATTTCCAACTACAATTATATGATCTTTAGAACCCATTCAGGGATGAACCAGTGGATGCGAACTATGATGATTAGACATACGTGTCCAACAGGCTAGATAGGACATCTTGTCTAGAGACCAAATGTAGTTCACGTATTGTACCTGTATGTATGGACTCTCACTAATTATCTCTACTATGTGCTACGATGGTTGATATCAGTGTCCCATTTTGCTCTCACTATGCTACTGTAAAAACACGCTCTCATTATTGTATGATTTAGGTTGGTTGAATTGTTTGAGACTTTCTGAGATTACTTGCCTATGAGAATATACAGATTACAATTCTAGTTCTTCATGCTTGCGACATGAGAATTCTAGTACTATGTATCGTAAAACTGCGTAATTCTATATTACAAAAGCAGCACACAAAATCAACTCAGTTGTCACGTAAACCAATAGGTGTTGTTATCAATCAACCACCTTGGCTCTTCTTTGAACCTGTTTTGATGAACAATGGTCGGTATGAAATGTGCTAATCTTATTTCCATAAATGTATCATTAACTATCAAAATACTTAGTTACTGCAGCTGCGACTCGTTCAATGGATTTCTAGTTGTTATTGCAACCGGTGGTTATTTCATTGTTGATCAGCTGGATGAGACAAGGCCAACTCCAACTCATCCATCTACTGCACAACACTGACATCTACAGTAGTAGTTGATAAGTTTGTTTCGAATTGTGAACATGGTAAACAGTACTTTCAAGAGTTTCCCGTTTTCCGATTTACTTAATCCTTGTAGATGACGTTCCTTCGCATGAAAAATTTATGTCCAACTTGTACATTCTTCTTTATGGTTGTTCTGAACGTATATCTTGGTTTTTAGTCTCAGGTGTTCGTTTCTTACACTTCGTCTTCAGTTCATGAGTTTAAAAATATTTACCAAAGTTCAATTTGTGGGTCTGTGGGGATTTATTGACTTCAAGTTGGTATTCATCATGGACTGAAGGAACATTGGGAACCTGGGGAGCACTGGAAAGTTGTCTCGTCCTAATATGGGACTACTCCTCCTCCCCAGTGACTCAGTGGTAACGTGCTGGCCACGGAACCTAAAGGTCCTGGGCCCGACCTCTTGGGGGCCATGGGTGCACACTGCTGAGGAGTCCCGTACCAGGACGAAACGGTTGTCCAGTGCTCCCAGGTTTCCAATGTCCCTCCAACTGATGTTACTCCATGATGAACACCAACTTGAAATTTACCAGTGTCAACGTTTCCTTATACGAGTCACATATTTGCGTTTTTTGAGTATTAATGCATTCGAAAACAGACTTTTATCTATGTAGAAACTCGAAAGCATGACTACCGCCAAATTATATTCATCAAAACCTTTTATTCATTCGCATTTCTAACATTAGTGTCATACAACCACACCCTACAAAATCGATAGGTAGATGGGAGGAATGAGTCATGCTTCTGGAGAAATTTGTTTATAAAGATAAAGGACTCTATAATGCGTCTTGAAGTTTTCATTTTACTATGCTAAATGCATTGTCATGCTTAAAGATGGATTAAGGCTGTCTTGCCTTTTGAAGTATGTTTGTGTAGAGCCACAAATTCATTGCATGTCATAGAAATTCATATTCATTGCCTTCGCGTGGTACGAACGTTTTCATAAGAGTAAAAGAGTGAAAGTAAATATCCATTGTTTATAAACAGGTCAGTAAATACAACAGATCCAATTAGGGATATTGAAAGGCTTGATTCTAAGTCAATCCATAGATGCGCTTCAGGATTTGGGATAAATTGATAACTCACAAACCTACCTTGATAACCAGAAATTGTGGGAATATATTACGTGTCCCATTTCTGCCGCTTTGTGTATTTGTTGAAGTATCAAGGAGTGATCCTCTAAGGCAACTGCTTACTGTGGTCTAATTGTTTGGACAAACATAAGACCTGGTTTTAGTATGTAACGATCCAAATTTCCACAAATCTCATCAATACGTAGGCTACAAGGGGGGTAGATAAAGATTTTAAAATGCTGTTACCAAAAGTCATCCGACAGAATGAAAAAGCGATAAAAAGGGCTGAGAAGTACGCCAATGAATAGAACGAAGGTAAGGCATGGATGTACTTACACCAATACCAAGTTGGTAGAACCAACTAGACAAAGCGTGCATTCACGGGGTTTAACCACATATTTAACACACATTTTGTCAAAATTGCTATTTAGGAAGATACGTTAACCAATAGATGCAGTAACCGTGTGATCCGAGTACTCATACCATATTCTATTTTTGGGTCCTCTTTATATGTAAGTAACATTGTAGTTTAGTTTTTCCTATCAAACATTCGCTACAGCTATGCGCAGACAGCTTTTTTAAGTTTAATAAGTCATCATATGGTATTATCTTCGTAGACTGACTATTCAAAAATCCACGGTGTATTTTGCTAAGTATGCAAACATGGTAAGCACTAAGTAATATTTCTGCATATCTCAGTCGTATAGCACGACTTTATAAATTTTTCTTTTTACCTCACATGATATTTGAAGATTCTTATTGGATGAAGTTACCCTCATTTCCTGGGAATATCAGTTTAGTAACGTTGAGGTTCAACGTTTCCATTTAGATTGACGATAATAGCCGTACATATATGGCTTGGATATTTATTTGTGTCACCTAGGTACATCAATTGTATACGGGATCTCTTTTACTGACTGTGGAACTGATTGAAAAAGTAAAGTAGTCATTCTGTACTATGTTCGCAGTGAATCAACAATGAGTATGTTGAAATTAAATCTGCACGACCCATCGCAATTTGGAAAATGAAATCCAGATGAACACAAGACTTAATAGACAGAGAAACAGAAAAATCCAAAGCCCTACACAAAAGTGTAGTGGTTCAAGTTAATACACTTCGTGACAACACTCAAATAGGAAATGAGCAGAATTAGGATGATTTTAGACAAAGGATATAAGATCAGTTAATACAACAAGAAAAGAAGTAATAGATTGTTCAGAATTTCAGAAATGATAACTTTATTAGTTACATCTGTGTCACGGTACCCTGTTTCCAGTCAAATCAGGGAGTTTGCGGTCGTTAGTTCTCAACCTCTCCAGGACTAGAGAGTATGTACTCTTCCCTTCATGGTTCAAATCGGAAACCTATGAATTAATGCATGACGTCATCCCTAACCTTTTTCCAACCCGGTTACTCGAACTAGAATGAGCTGACAATAATGTTGGATGCACTTTTAGGTTATAACTAGCGGCATTAATGTGTTAAAAAGCCACTTTGAATCGAAAGGAATCAACTACGACTTTAGTGTTCGCTTATATTATCTCTTCTCATCTATTAACCATAGATTGTTTGCACTAACCCTCCCTTTTCCAATGTCTCTTGTGTTCTCATAGCATCTTGAATTTATCGAGTCTTATATAAATAGTATTTACCAGCTGTATTGTATTTCCGTCTTCTTTTTTGGCAGGGGATTTTATGCAGCTAATCTGTTATTGATTGACTCTTTTCATTTGTACAGATTTTAGCTGATCGTCGCCCTGAAGTTTTGGAAGCTTTTGAACGTACTTCTCGTGCCTGTCTTTCTGAAATGCTCACTTGTCAAGAATCGGAACGCAAAAATAACGCTAAAGCTCGTAATCAAGGTTTAATTGAACATCAAAAACAACTGGCTGAGTTGAATCGTGCAGATGCACCAATCAAATTTTCTTTACTCACTGGTCAGACAGAATTCGGTGATACAGTGGATCGATTTGATCTAACACTTAGTCAAGCATTGGGAGGAACTGGTAAAGGCAATTCTGGTGATGCATATGCTACATCCAAGTTGAATAAAGTAAGTATAAATATCTATGATATGAAAATGATTATATGCCTTTAACTTCTGATAACTAGATGTTGAATTTAAACATCTTAAAAAATAAACCGGAAGATTGTCTCATTCATAAATCCTGTGAAAATTTACCGAAGTCAAATCATAACTGTTTTGTTGTTGTATTTTTTTTCTAATTACACGCGTGTTCTCTTATGAGGCAGTGAATGACACCTTTATTTTAGGGACTTCCCATCACAGCCCAACTAGTTTCAACTTCACCTATTAAGCGGAGAACTTGAGCATTGAACTCAGGGCTGAGTGAATGCAACACTTAACCACAGCTCATATTAATGTAATGTCTCACTTGAATCTAGTTAATTTCGAAAAGTGAAACAAAATTTTAAATACAGACATTGGTATGTTTGATCCTGTTCGTTACTTAGTTATTTTCCTCTTTTTCACTTGACTTTCAGGTTCATCAGCTAACTGGTTTCTCTGATCCTGTATATGCAGAAGCTTATGTGCATGTCAATCAATTTGATATTCTATTAGATGTTCTTGTTGTTAATCAGACTAGAGATACCCTACAGAATTTAACACTGGAATTGTCTACATTAGGTGACTTACGTCTAGTTGAAAAACCAAGTCCGCTAACAATTGCACCACAAGATTTCGCGAATATCAAAGCAAATATTAAGGTCAGTTTTTGTCCTTGAACTTTTTCGTGTTTTGTCGGGATGATGAAAAATTCCTTAGCATTATCGAAATGGGAAAATTACTAGCGTGAATCTTCTTTAACTGTTCTTTAGATTCTAGAATTTTCCAAAGTGTTTTGGTAATTCTGTGCACAGGACTTGCATTAGGCAAGTGTTTAACTTAGAAGCGGGAATTTCAAATGAATCGTGGATTTGGTTTTAGACACTGTAACAAGAGTTTAGTAGTCGCGACATCCTTGTGTCGTTTGGTTCTTAGGGGATTGAATAGAGGCCATACACCGTGAAATAAGGTACTGACGCACTTGTAGGCACTTGTCTCGTAGGCTATTCATGGAGAAACATCTACGTTATTTTTCGCGGTCGTTTAAAAAAAAAGATAGCATAAATTCGTATGTATTTTATTCTACTAAAATTGAGCAACTGTTTGACTGCAGTTTCCGTGCAAGATGTGATGTCTAAAGAGTTTGAAAGTTGGCGTTTACTTATTTGAATGTGGTAAATAGTAAGTATTGTAGTGATCATGCTCGCAATCATCTGACTATGGCTTTAATCCAGTCTACGTTTTTAGTTTTCAAGCATTTGAATTGTTCTTATATCCATCCACTTTGATTGTAATATGGATAATTGAATTGACAGTTGATTTCATTGAAAAGTGAATTTGTAGTTCATTGGTTTAGAAAGTTAACTTTCAAACTGTGGGTCACGGGTTCAAAAACCTCTCCATCTACTGAAGTTTAGACAGCCAGCCCTCACATACTAGGTGTAATTGATTGCCTACCGCACAAATGTCCACAAGGGTGGACTTTGACTTCGACTTCACTGGGTAACATTTAAACAAGTTCGAATATTTTGCATTGACATGCCAGTCAGTGATTGGTTAATGGAGAGACCAGCTGTTAGATGCAATCTGTCGGCAGTTTGCGTAAAAAAACATCTCCAGTTCTGGATATAATGATCAAAACTGTTAAAAAAGAAACTGAGGAAGAAAAACACCGAACTTGGAAATCTATCTATTACTTATGTAGCGGAAATAGCCTTCGAAAACAGCTAAATCATTGTGTTACTGTATGTGCACATTCATAGGTTTTCTATATGCAATAATTATTGTTATTCGTTTTACTGTTTCGAAGTGATGATCATATAAATGAGAAATATACTACTTATTTCCCTCAGAGAGATGATTGTTATCAATATAAGCATGTATGTTTTGCTCCCAATTTCTCCTTAATATGTGGTCGGCGTGAAACACATTTATTGTAGGTTTTCTACATTCAAGGACCTTCTAGTCTCCATTCTGTCATCAGCGTTATATTGATTGGTATTATTCATGATTCGTTTTTGCTAGTACTCAGTAATGACAAGATTACTGTGCCACGGGGGTGGAAAGTTTCGGAATATTCGAAATAACACTAAACAAATGCATGAAATCAATAACTATTGGGTGTAAGCCTGATCGCTGTGAGTTTCAGTAAGGTGTGTGTTGATTGGATAGCTTCCACTGTTCACCCTCTGAATTGATCTACTCAGTGCAAGTGCTGTGATAGTCGATTCTATTATCCGGTATTTGTTTATTCTTTTTGTCTTTCGAATGTTTACTAATTGTTGTAATTAGCGAAAACGAAATGCACTCAACAAACTTGTGCACGTGCACTACGCAATGAACCATGCCTATTGTATAAAGCCTTATGATTATACCTGACTGCTCAAACCTCGGTAGGCAAAGCGGTGTTTGTTGAGGATGTTATATCCCCGAAAATGAACGGTTGATACTTAATTTTTATAAAATTGTCTTACGAAAAATTTGAATTATCCTTTTCGTGCCTTTTCCCGCCCCAAGTGTATCGCTCATTTTTACCATTTTTACGAACGCCGTTTACCTACTGGTTAGTCCTTTTGTTTCTTCGCACCAAGGGTGGATAGATACATTGTATATAAATATCAAAATTGTGACACTGGGTTGTAATCTTCATAGTTTCCTTTGGAGTAAACTTGCTTCAGTCCAACATTGTCTTCATATTGTGTCAGCTGAGCCAGTTTTCAAGTATCGTGTCCTTCATTCAGTAACTAGATTACGCATCCCCAATTAATCCTATTGGAGAGCCTCAACAATGTTTTAACTGGTGACCCACTGGCTGAAAGTCAGCTAAAGCAATGAACTACGATTCCATAATTACGGTAAGGCAGTATAGCAACTGCATGCAGACTTACGTATCAGACTGTAAGTTGCCTGGTATTCGAAAGTTTGTTGTACTGCCTACTATGCTGGGAATAGATCCGAATAAGTCACTCATTGACTAAAGGTTAAAGGCATCACAGCTCTTGGACAATATTTCTTTCAATGCTTTACTATGCTACATGTTTTCCTAAGCTGTCTAATATTAAATTGGTTGAAGTGTCAAATAGTTTGTGTTAATTATTCACTTTTCTAGGTTTCTTCTACTGAAAATGGTATCATCTTTGGAAATATATCTTACGATGTTCGAGGTTCGTCTGGCGAAACAACGTGTATTGTTTTAAATGATATTCATATTGATATTATGGAGTATATTATGCCAGCCACTTGTACACCAAGTGAATTTCGTCAAATGTGGTCTGAATTTGAATGGGAAAATAAGGTAAGTATCAGTTCAATTGTTCATAACTTTCATCTTTTACTAATATGAACCTGTTGGTATGTTACTCACTATCTTAAGCATTCTCAGAGGCAGCAGTACCTTCACTAAATGATAAGATGCACCAAAGAATATGTCGACGCTATTACAATGTAGTGGGGAAGGTGAATAGGGCATAATGTCAGTCATGTAAAAGGGACACAGTGGAGGACTGACGAAGTTGTTTGTGGGGAAATTACATTGAGTCCCGGTAAAATATGGGAACCTTACACGAAACACAATTCATGCAAATAGTTTCTGGATTCTACTTTGGAGATAGCTTGTCCTTCACTTTCTATCGCTCCATCGCTTGTCTTTCGCATTTCCTCATTGAGAACATCTACCGACTAAATGATAGCTGTACGTGCTGTTCTGAGGGACACCGTGCTCTATATACCACTTACATGCGTTCATATGAGTAGCACACAACACAATCACCGATAGTTAAAATGATCTCTTTTCTACAAATCTATTGGGATTGTCCTTAGATTTTTATCTTTTAGTGACCACTCTATTAGCTAATAACAGGCGGATGTTTTGCCTTATACCTTAGTATGCTGATTTCTTCGCAGCATGACCACCTTCCCTTATCTTTATATATTGAAAGCATTATTACGATAAGTCAGCAATGATCACTTCCTTCCATTGTGATGGAACTTGATGTATAGTGGGCCTTAACAGTCACTAACTATTAAATTATCCATATTATGAGACACGTTGTGTTACAAAAATACTGTTGAGACGCGTTGGTTATCCTAAGTAGAACCATAACACAATGACTGAAAGTTAACTGCATTGGTAAACCGTTATAAAACTGCATTATGTAGTGAATTTGCTTCGTTTCGAATTTTTTTTGAGTATGCTCACTTATTCTTTCTTTCACATTATCGCAGGTCACTGTGAATACACAAATCAAAGATCTTTTCACCTATTTATCACAAATTACAAGTCATACGAATTTGCGATGTCTTACGCCTACTGAGGCTCTTCTTGGGGAATGTGATTATCTTTGCGTAACACTTTATGCAAAGACAATATTTGGTGAACATGTCTTGGCTAACTTGTGTTTGGAAAAGTCAGAAGCAGATCAACCTGTAACGGGTCATGTTAGAATTCGAGCTAAAACGCAGGGTATGGCTGTTACAATGGGTGAAAGGGTAAGTTCTTATGGATCTCACTCATTTACTCTCCGCTTTCGTAGAACATATTTTGTACTGCATTAAAGGAAAATACACACTGCTAGTATACCGATGCATACCTGAAACCTAGGATGCAAACATTACATTGGCGGTCATGATCTCTGAATATGATACACCCACTAGGCGTTTTAATACCAACCTGTAAGATGTATCCAACGCACTTCCACAGAGATTTTTATACATTTTCACATATTTGTCAATATTACTCTGTTATTCATACGGCATAATTTATGCTCTCACATACACATAATCTATGGGCACATGCACGTTCTCACTGACGCTACGATGCAGACTACCCGGTCGGGGTCCGCGGGACAAGAGAAACCTGTAGTTGGAGACTCTAGGTGATATGGCTCAGAACCGATCCCAGTGATCCAAACGTATACACATATTATCCTCATCTTAACCGCTATACTTAACCTCATCACCTCCTCATTCCTTCTCCTTATCTTTTACTACTTTCTACTTCCTTTGAACGAGTTTTCTTTCCTTCATTTTCCATTTTATTGGCTTGTTACCTGATGTGCTGATATGAGATGTGGCAAATTGATCCATCACGCAGTAATACCTGGTCCTATGCTGATCTTGATGATGATAACAATGAGTTTAGATAGCCAGCTTTTGATCAACATATCTCAGATTCGAACTTCGTCTCACTTACCAATATATGAGCCGCTAAGTATTATTAGTAGTCAACACGCAGTAACATAGTTGCACCGCACGGAATTCGATTGGCAACTGCATAATTCTGTCTACTTTGAACTAACTAAAGTATTATGTAATCATAGAGATAAAAAATAACGATTCAAAGAAGAAAATCAAACAGAAAAAAAGTTTACTCAAATTCTCAAGCAAATAAAGAATGAATTGGTAATTAGCTGCGAATTGCTTGAATAACAACGAGGATCCGATTCGTTAGTCCTTTGACCATATGGCTTTCACAAGTGCACTAAGACAACGCTTCACTCCTTCCAATTTTAGACGGGAATAACACCACACCATACTACCAACAAATAGCTCACTGATAACCTAAAACCAGTCAAAGATCATCTAAATATTCAACGTAGAGCTGTGACTTAAGGAGATGCTTATCAACCATTAGGTCACGGGTTCGAGCCCTGCTTCCCTATGACTAGCCCTCACACAATAGGTGTGGCTCATTGCCTACTGAACTGATGTGCACACGGTGACTGAGTTCCTTTCGTTCGTCGTCGTGTCCAATTCACTTGACTTTCTTAATTCAATCAATGATGTCGGTATATTAAATAAATAAATAGTTCTTTTGGATGTTACCCCACTACCTACTGAAGTTCCACTCACTTGAACCATTCGTTTCTGATGTAACTGCATTGAAGGCAATATTTTCTGCGTTTTTGTTCCAAAGAAATATCTAAAAGAACTACTGCTGAGATACATTCTCAACGTATTGTTCTACAGACAAAAAAATGAAGTGGCAATGGGGTCTCCACTTGGTTCCGATTATCAGATTGCTTTTCGGCAAACTTGAAAAATATTGTGTTACACCTGAAGACTGAAAGCATCCATTCATATAAGAGATATTTGGATGTCATTCGCATCATGTGTGACAAAGGTATAGATATTTAAGCCATAGAATCCGGAGCTAACTCAAAATTTAATTTTTTTTGGAATGTTTTGCTGAAAAGTAAACTCAACGAGTCATTTCAGACATCGGCCTATAAAAAGCCAATATGGAATGATCAGTACATTCATTTCCAAAGCTGGACTCCACTAAACAAAATTAAAAATGTAATCTATTAGACGTTAGCTGGATGGAAGCAATCGTCAGGATCTGGGTTTGGTGCTTGCTGGCACTCGTCAGCTAGGCATATCTGAAACCTCGACAGAGGTGATGTCTCACCTGAGACCCGGACCTGCGTCACGCAGTGTTCAAGTCATCGTCGTTACCACTGAACTATTCAGGTCGCGACTGACCTTCTGTAGGACTGGATTAGATACATTAATCGGTCACTGGAGGGTAACCAACTTCATGTTGTCTAGTCCTAGGTGCTGGTCGAATTCTACAGTCGCTGACTACAACACTGAGTGACTCAGGTTCTAATCTCAGGTGGGACATCAGATCCGTCGAGGTTGCAGATACACCTTTCTAACAAGTACTAACAGGCACGAAACCTAGGCCAAAGGTTTCCTGACTACCGCCTCCATCCAACTAACATCTATCAAAGTGTATCGCGATGCTGAACTGCCTAGTCTGGTGGCCACATTGTAAAATGGTCGATAGAATTCGACCACCACTAGACAACATAAAGTTGGTTACCTTTACAGTGACTAATCAATGTAAAAAATGTAGTCCGTCCGAGTTCATCGAGAATCAGAAAAGTCTTCACAGATGTAATTAAAGATAAACTGTAACAACATTGACAAATACTCTTCCAAAATGGATGTCTGTCCAAGTTCATCGACAATCTCAATCCCAAGCAACGTACTGAGAAAATTACCTCAGTATTGAAGAAAGCTTTGTTTATGAACATCGATTTTAGAGTTGATAGTGCGTTAAAGATGGTGCAAAACCACCTAGGCGGACCGCTAAGGAAGAAATTCTTTCCTGCTGAACTTTAACTCATCTCTAGTCACTGATTGGTTCGTGGACATTTTAAGGACAACTAACTACTTTAAGTTAAATCTATATTTGTCTACAAGTTTGTTTGCTTTCATGGAGTTAGTTATATAGACCGAATAACGCAATCACTCTCCAAATGAGTTTCTGAACACTGTCCCACATGGCTATCAAAACGTCAGCATAAATCTGTCGACAGTTCAACCAATACTTTGATGCCCTGTCAATTCAGGTCACTTAGCTCCATCGGAATCTCCTCCTAAAATTATCTATGGAGTGAAACCGAAACATTCAAAAGGACTAAAATTTTGTAACTTATTTGGGATAGAAGCGTTGGCAATCAACCAATTCAACCCCAAACCCCTTGTGCAGAAGAAGTATGTTTACTCTATACTTCTACCATGGTCTTAATTTTCCTCTTCTCCTTCTATGATCTTGTAATTAGTTCACAACTGGCACTTTCATTAAGATCCTTGCTTCTTTCTTTAACCCGTTTTCATCCTTCAAATGAGACACTTAGTCATTTCACATCTAGAAACAACTTCACTTTTCTTATTACTTCTACTACATGGTGTATTAACATGTAGTTTTTTAAGGGCTTATATTAGTGATATAATCCTCCTTGACTGATTGGTAATGGACTATTATTTTATATTGATCTTGGTGACTACCAGAAGAATCCAGGACGCTTCGTCGTATTTGGGACTCGTCAGTCGGACGCACCTACCCCCCAATGAGTGATGTTGTTCCCACCAAGACTCAAACCAAGTACCCTTCGCTTCAAACGTCCACTAAGCCACGATAGCCATATCTTATGCAACGGGTATCAGTTTTTGTAATGATGCTTGTGATCCCCTGTTGCTATACAGGGCCGAATGACTTGACCTATGTTGGCAGATGCATCCGCATGAGATCCCATAACTATTAGACTCATTGCAATAGAAAAGTTATTATTAGCTAAAATTATGTCAAGCTTTTGGTTTTCTTGATTCAGTAATCAATTGGCCAAAATTAGGCACACAAAAGCAGTCGTTGGTGTACCTTTCTATTTTGTAAACGCACTTACTATTCAAAGAATGACGCGTATGTGTTGCTTGAGATGTTTAGGGAATAATGGACGACGCTAGTATATCATCCTTGTAAAGAAGATGTACTCATAACTCAGTCACTTCCCAGGGTTGTTTTTAATGGTATAACTTATACTCTTGTGCGGATGCCTCTATAAAGTCGGTTTTTTTCAAATTCAATATTATTGTTGGATATTGGCTAGCAGTGGAATTCAGGAGGCGCGTTTCCGCCTATTTGGGACTAGTTAGCTGGATGTACCAATAGTGGCAGATCAGTTCGGTCCAGTAGACGACGGAGATGCACAAGCTATTCCATCAGAGACTATACTATACTCGTCGTACAGGGAGTGGGTATCGTGACTCCGTGGCCTGGTGGATAACGCTCTAGCGTTTGGAGCGACTGGTTCGGGGTTCGAGTCTTAGTGGGAACAACACCTACTAGGAGGCAGGTACATACAGCTGAAGAGTTACAAATAGGACGAAGCGCGTGTCCTGAATTTCACTCCTGACCACTACCCACCAATAACTTCGTAGGTTTCATCTCATTTGAATTCAACTAGTTTTTATTTGATAATAGATTCTTTTTTGTTGTTTTAATTGAATAAAAACAGGTGAAGTATACTAGTATGTTGTATAATCCTTCGAACCTTTCATACCTTTGAAGCAGGGAAAAAGCTTATAAATTCTAAGGGATAAAGTGCTGGATCACACTATTACGTGGTTGTAGAATCTGTTCCTCATGAGCAGATAATGCCACACTGGTGATGTCAATCGTGTTCAACGGCTAGTGACTTCATTATATGTATCATGGTTTTTGTTCTCTCGCATGAGATTAATGTTACTAACTAATTTTTTTGACCATTTCTCCCCAATTCTGTTTTTGCAGGTCAGTACTTGTCAGAAAAACTGGCCGATTAATAATTCACGACATGTGAATGGTAACAGTATGAAACATCAAGTAGATGAAAATTCCGATACAAATGTGGTCCATTCTCCTTTACAAGCTAATGCAATGGTGAATAGTCACTGATTGACTTGTTTTCTGCGTTAATTTTTTTCTCTTATAATCTGGTAGTCGGCTTATTTCTCCTCTTCTTCCCTTTTTTTGAACTGATATGAATAGGACAATTCGTTATTCCACTTTACTCTCAAATGCACTTATGCGTACACACACATGCACATATGCTGCTTCTGCGTGATCGTAACTGTATTTCATCCTTGTGTGTGTATGTGTTTTTTTTTGTATCTTGGTCTAATATAGTGTTTCTTTTGTTTTTATCAACTTTTTGCAAAGCTTTGACGTAGAACTGCAATTAGATTGAGTGACATCCATTCATCTGTCAGATTCCCCACCACCGATTATACTTATTCATCTAACTGAACTGTTATGAAATTTCACTATCCGAATTAGTCATTGGGTACTAACCAATGGAGCTATCAAATCTTAGGGGATATCCAGATTCTCTTAGTCAAGTCGCTAAGCTCAGTGACATGATATACTGTATTGCATTTTTTTCTCCGTGCGATGTTTAGAGTCAGTTAACCAGAAGGCTGGAATCTGGATTTCATCTGCTAATTAGATGAAACCTTGGGCTGAATAATTTTACAAGTGAATTTCTCAATGGAATCAGATTCAAATCGTCAAGAGCATGGGATTTTTCCAATGGTATTTAATCGATACCCTCCCGATAGCTGCTACTTTGATGTGGTGGTCAGGCTTGCATCTCACAATGATCCAACGAGCTATGCTGATGGTACGCTTGTTTTCTCAAGGTCCTACCATGCCAGAAAGGTCTGATAAGACGAAAAGCAGTTACCCTTGTTGCGTAAATTACTACACTATCATGGGGATCTGAGGGCGAAGTGGTACTACTGCTAGCTGGATGGGATGCGACAGCAGTAAGGTGTTTTCCTTGGATGACCAGCAGTGCCTCAGTGATGCTGCCTTCTCATCCAAAAGGTGGGGGTTAGAAAAGGTCGGCTGCAATAATAACACACCACCATGCCCCACAGTCCCCCGGCGTTGGTGGTATTGGTTCTTTTTACCTCAAAACAACTTACAAAAAACTGTATAAAAGATGTCTCAAGCAGGTGTCCCGTGGGCTCTGTGGTCACAAATCTTTTCCTCTTTTAGGCACCTTAAGAAGAAAAAGCCATCGATGGTGTGGGCGGCCGGAAAGTGTCAACTGCCCACCCGCACACTTCCAGTAGTATCCTCTTCTATCCTCTTCATCTCAATCTTCTCCTTTGCCTTCATCTCCTCATACTAATATTAGGCCTCTTACACCCGCCCAACCTCTCACTCAACGACAACCAGAGCCATCAAAACCTCATTCCTAATTTCTTAAGACCCTGCCACTGATTTTATGTGGGAGCTTTCAACATTCGAGCCCTCTGCCAAATCGAACAGCAAGTATCGTCCGCTAGAATTTTGGAATCTGTTGCCATGGATGTATGGTGTATCTCCTGAGATACGAATGCAGGACGCTACTGTGGCCATTAAATTGACCTCACCTGACCACAGTTGTGAATCTTCAACATTCACCTTGGGAGTATACGGAGACCCAGTGGTGGACTTGCTGGTGTAGGCATAGCATTAAGCTGCAAAACAGAAATAGCACTTCTAGACTGGATACCAGTCAACAGTTGTCTATGTGCTGTTCGACTAAATGGATCTATAATAATTAAGACTAGGAGATGCCTATTCGTAATCTCCGTCTACACACCCACCAACTGTAGTTTGGATGATGCAAAGGATGAATTCTATGAGAAGCTGTCAACTTTGCCACAGAAAGCAAAAAGTCCAGATGTAGTCACAATGGCTGATGACTTTAGTGCTCGAGTAGAGCCAGAATCTTGTGTCAACAAACCGACAAAAATGACCGTTTATGGCAGTTTCGTTTTGAAAATCACTTGTTTCTGGCCAACACTGTCTTCAGACATAAGAAGAGACGCTGTCTCACATGACGTCTGCCAACTTCAAACCTGCACAGGAAGATCATATTACTATAAGCCATCGTTGGAGATCTGGGATGGATTGCCGCTCTTCCTGAAATACCAGTTTGGACTCCGACCAGGCGTTAGCACTGGCTCGTTTATGTCTACACCTCACTGAACACAGGAAACAGGCGATAGTAAAGCCTGTCCACGGTCGATTGGGAGATGAGAACATCAAGTCTGAATTTCAGAACGAGATAGCTGACCATTTATCTGATCGTGACAGTAATGCTCATCTGGAGGATACCTTATGTGCTGTTAATTCGTCCGTAGAAACAGAGGTAAAGACAATTGGTAACCTACACCTGAAGGTTAACAAACGTCAATGGATTTTCGTGACGTCATCCTATCCGATTGATATTAGAAGAAATTCCAGCTGGCTCTGATCACGATGAAAAGCGGAAAACACTAAAATTAAGAGTTTTCGCGTCGATCGGGAGCAGTCATGGATGGCGAGAGATGGAGTAGGCATCAGAGTTGGGTAACACGTGGTAACTATTTAGACTTATTAAATATGCTGGCAAAAGGAAGACGCCAGTGAGTAAAACCGTTACCGAAAAAGAAGGGGTGCTAATAGCCTCCCACGACAGGTGGCTAGAATATTGAGTAGAACACTTTGAAACACAATTCAACTGGCCCACAGAAACGCTTCAGTCGCCCAACATCCTGCCTGAACCTGAATGGGGCGTAGATGTCGGTCGTCAAACCCTCTCGAAAGTTGAGAAAGCGGTGTCGAACCTGAAAAGATGGAAAGCATCAGGATGTGACAGTTTACCAGCTACAGCTTTCAAGGATGGAGGTAGAAAATTGCCAATTAAAATGACGGAAGTACTTGGTAGTGTGTTTGAGAATCAGAGGTAGTCCCGTCACACTGGTCTACTTCTCTGACCATCTCAGTCTATAAGAAGGGAGATAAATCTTTCTGTGATAACCGTGAGGAAGCTAGCTTGACTAATATTATGTCCGAGATCCTACCCTTCATAGTTATCCGACGCCTAAGTGGAGCTGGAGAATAGAAAACCAGGGAGGTTTCAGATAGCTGGACGAGAGTGAGTCGATCATATTTCCATCATTCGAGTGGTCGTGGAACATAAATGTACCTACCGGTGGCTGACACTTGCCATATTTGTTGACCTGAGGACTGCATTTAATTCTGTCGACCGTGGGATGTTGTGGCAGTGTCTGACTGTGAAGGGAGTACTGAGCAAGTATGTAATGCCTATCAAAGCTCTCTACTCGAACTCATGAAGCCGTGTAAGGTCTTGTGGAGAGTTGTCATGTGAATTGACAACTAGTGATGTCTGTCAGGGATGCCCACTGTCACCGTTCGTATTCAACTTCATCATAGTTGTACTAATGGACATAACCTTAGGCACGTCTAACTTAGAGGTCATATGTTTGGGTTGGAGTATGTGGACGATATTGTCCTGCCAGGTGAGGACGGGTGTGAGACATGGCTATTAAAAGTGGAAGACATGAAGCGATTACAGGGTTTTGAGCATAGGCGTCTTCGTAGTACTGCTCACTTTTGGTGAAATCACCGTGTGAGCAGTGTTGAGGTCAGGTGAAGGATACTAGGTAAGGCAGGCAAGTCGTTTGATGAAGTTGTGAAGGTTAGTCGACAGAAATGGCTTGGACATTTACTGCACATGACAAGTCACCGCCTACCTCGATGTCCCATGCTTAGGGAAATTGGATTAGATTGGAAGAGGGCTCAGGGTGCTCAGATCAAGACCTGGCAAAAGTCGATGAAATCTATGACTGTTGGATAGAGCCCTGTGGGGCGATGTAGACTGATTTGTTGGGGTCCTTTGGGTTCCTAGTGGAACATAGAGCTTCAATAGTATTTCGCCACTTCAGTTTCTTCTCCGCAGTCTTATGAAGCTGGCTTCACGACTGCCCAGAAACTTTTATTTCTTCTTCACACGATCTCTATGTCATCCTCGGACGCCCATTCGTCGTTTGCCATTTGGCTTCCACTCCATGGCCTGGCGTGGCGTGTGATATCCTCAAATGGTCTTCTCAGTGTATGCATATTTGTTAGGCGATAGGTTCTTGATTGGTTCGTTGGCAGGCCAGAGTTCCTTGTTGCTTATTCTTGTTATTCTGGCCATCTGATCTTCAGTATCGAGTGAGCGTAGGCGGCAGCTGTTGATGTATGTCTGTAGTTTGTTGGAAATTCTTTTCGTAACGCGCCAAGTCTCCCAACTATATAGAAGCGCTGAATTAATGTTGGAAATCCTGATCTTGTTCTTGATGCTGAGTGCAGTAGATTTCCACACAGATTTCAGGTTAATGAAGGCCTATCTTGCTTTTCCGATCACACGATGATTACTGATTATTTACGTTGGCTAGAAATACTTGAAGTAATCTTACTGTTCACAGCTCATGGTTGGAATGACCAATCTGAGTGGACCACCATTTTCCAAACTGGGATATCATTCCTTTTTCAAGATAACATGTTAAATATTAGTTGCAGATTATAGCTCATAGTGATAAACTATCATTTCATCTATGTCCAAATATGATGCACGCATTAATACTAACAATAATTAAAAATTTGAAATAGCCAATCACATTATCAGTTGATATCCTTCGAACATCGCGTGAAAAACTTAGAACTGGTGCATAGCTGTTTGATTTCTCCTTCGGTTCCACATAAATTATACATTGAAACTCTCTGTCGAGAGACCTAACATATTAGCTTTGGGATACATGGTGAACAGTTTTACACTTTACTTTGGATGGGGTCAAGATGTTCCTACGGTTTTGAAAAGTGTAATGTAATTTGCGTCCCGATAGAACCGATTGAGCAAAATAATCTAATCTATCAAACCCCGTGTAATGACTACGAGGTCAAGTACATAGGTCAAACTAGCCGATCGAGGTCAGTTAGAATAGCGGAATATAGCTAAATATAAAATGACAGTTTCTAAAAAGATCAATAATCTAGAAAATAACTCGGCTGTTGCAGTGCATGCATTAACATACAACCACACAGTAAGATGGGTGGGATAAAACCGCCGTACTTAAGTCGAATATGATTAGGTGGATCAAGAAATTGGTTACTGAATTTGTTCATCAAATCTACACGCAACACATGTAATAGAAATGACGCAACACCTGTATCAGAGATATGGAATATTTTACTACCAATAAAAACAAAGAATATTAGGTGACAGGACTATAAAAATCAGATATTAAAAGTAGTGTGATTACACTGATATGATTATAAGGAATGATTTATGTTCGGAACATCATCAAGTAAATAATATCACCG